CGTCATTTGATTAATTAAAAAAAAAAAAAGTATTTGACTATTTCAATCACGTTTCATCTGCTATTACGACTGAGCTTTTATTTGCAAGATTTCATTCATGAAAACAGTGAGTCACGTCGACACTTTCAACATAGTGCCTGTGTTTTTTGGTAACGATTGCATGAGAAATATAATCAATGGTATGTTCGCGCGGTCATTGAGCCCCCAGGGCATTCCCAGTGGCTGAATTAATGTAAACAAAGATGTCACTGAGAATTTATAGACTGAATTTGGCTGAACATGACCTCCAGAAATTGCCGCGGGAACGGATTTGAGTGGAAACTGAAAATTTTTAATTTTTTAATAGTTAATGACCATTATTATGACCACAAAAAAAACGTGATAATCTTGGGCTCCCTGAAACCCCTGCGGGCTCCCTGAAAAAGTGCTTGAGGAGCCCGGCTGGCTCCCTAAAAAAAAAGTAAAGGTCAGGCCCTGCTTATTAATCAGAGGAATCAAAGAGAATGTACTTAAAGTATCAACAAAATTATTAACAGAGTTATCGTGATCATAACTTATTAAAATCACCCATAATAATAATTTTTATATTTCTGAATAATGGGCTTGAAAGAGTGTTAGACAATTCTTCAATAAATTCATTCACATCACCATTTGGTAGACTACTCCCACTAACAAGTTTTTTTCTCCAAGAATTATAATCTCAACAAATAGAGATTCTAATGAATCATTCATAATGTACAATTCTGTTTTTGTATGACACTCAAATGAAATGGGAATATACATTGCTACACCACCACCGGATCTGCTTTGTCGATCATTAGTGACTAGTTGATACCTAGGAAGATCGTACATGGCAGTTGGATGACTAGAAAACCAAGTTTCAGTGATTCCAATTATTGGGTACTTATCCTGAAAAGTGTCCAAAAACAAGGAAAGCCTGTCAAAATTTGCATTCATGCTACGCACATTAAAGTGCAAAAAAGACGTTTCATTGATAGGACAGTTTTCTAAATGTTCAGAAAATTGTTTTTCAGTAAAATATTTTGAGTCGTACACTGTAGTTTCAACCTCGTCATTCAACATATATTCAAAATGTGTTACATTCATATTCAACTCTGCAACAATATTATCATCAGACTGAGTGTGGCTCAATTGAGTAGCATTAACCTGAGGCATCATAACCTTGACTAAAATCTGCACATATATATCTGTGGTTATAAAGAAAGTAACTGGATTTAGCAATAGCACAAAAGGGAAAAAAAAAAACATACACACAATTGACAGAGATGTTAAAAGCCATCCTTTCCGCATGGCCAAGCATCACGTGTACAAAAATGTGATGTGTTAGCCTCAAAGACTGGGGCGAGATGTCCCGACATGATTCATCGATCGAGAGATACCAATGTGTATATGTTTGTGCTCATTGTGACTTAATAATGCCATTTTCAACCACAATCTGTAATGGAATTTTGTCAATTGATACTATTGAAGACAATCTATATCTTCTCTTTAGGTAAAATGACAAAAAAAATGGCATTTTGGACAATTTACTCACAGCTCGCAATTCGTGATTCATCGATCGAGAGATACCAATGTGTATATGTTTGTGCTCATTGTGACTTAATAATGCCATTTCCAACCACAATCTGTAATGGAATTTTGTCAAATGATACTATTGAAGACAATCTAGACTATATCTTCTCTTTAGGTAAAATGACAAAAAATGGCATTTTGGACAATTTACTTACAGCTCGCAATTCGCATCGCCGCACGTACATTAAATGTGCGTTGTATCGATACGAACCACTGAAATTCGAGCAGTGTTTTTGTCAGTAAATCACTGCAAAAATATCATTTTCATAATGTATGAAGGTCTTTTTTTGATTCCTGATATAAATTTCGTTATTGAGAAGTCGAATGTAGACCCTACTACATTTTAGACGAGATGGCTGATGTTTGTTCACATTCTTTTGTCCTGGCCGTAAATTATCTCTCAACCCATGAATCATGTTGGGACATCTCGCCCCAGTCTTTGAGGCTGGGGCGAGATGTCCCGTGGGGCGAGTTAGCCCGGATTCAATTCATGGTATGCCAGTCGCTCACTGCATGCACTGCACTCAGCACTGCACGCTGCGCACGCAAGTTGCTATCATAACACCATGTTGCATGTTGTGTGTCTGGACTCACGAGCTGAGTCTGGATTAGGTGATAATCTATATTACTAATACGCAAAATCGTCGCGGGGGGTCCAAACGGGTACAAAACGGTTCCTCAAAAACGTCTTTCCCCGACCCCGCCCGCCTCCGCCGTGGCGCGGGGAGGGCGGCACAATTCCACGAGGTCTGTCTCCCGTAACCCGCGTGCCACGTCGACCCCGCGATCGACGTCCATGCCGTTAAACGCGGTTTCGGGGCGGCCGGGGCGGCCGGGGAGGACAGGCGGACGAGAGCACGGCGGGCGTCGCGGATTGCGAGGAGGCGACGAACCCGCGAGAGCGAGTCGGCAAGGCGTGCACCCGCCCTCTGTCTAATTATCAAAGAGAGACGAAGAGACACACGATGGACGAGAATCCACTCGCGTCAACGGGTGTAGCAAGTCTCATTGTAAAGGCTGCGGCATATCCCGAGTAAGGCCTCTTGCTATAGGATTCGCTTTGTAGCATGTAAGAGAAATACACATCAACAGACGACTTACCCGGGTGATGGGATGTAGCCAATATGTACGCTCAACGGGTTGAGCTTACCCGTGTTATGCGTCTTTCTATAGGATATGCTTTGTAGTACGTGTATTACACGCTCTCAGGTCACACACATGCACACACCACAGTCGATTCGAGTCGAGGCGATTGCGACAACTGGCGCAAACCATGGACCTATTTTCACGTAAAATCTTTACTCTGAAAATAATTATACAAATTCTGTGATCTATGCCAACATAATCATAGTCCAAGCTTCTGTTTTATTGGTCTTTTCATGAAAACTACATCGAAATCACAACAAGAATAGCGCAAATAGATCTGTGATAGTACGCCTTCACGTGACAGTTCAGTTGCAAACTGCCTGAGTCCACACAGTGTATTGCCACCGCAGCTGAGCGCTGCTGTCGGCGGTGCTGTCGGAGCGCCTGAGTGTGTGAGCGGTGACCGGAGTAGCCAGGCCTGTCCGTGGTGTGAGGAAAGTCTAAACAACACTTTGAAGTTGTTATTATTGCCCCGATTTCAATATAGTTTCGTGAATAGATGTATGAAACCTGGGCTTGGATTGTGATTATTCTGGCCATGTATAGTTGTATACTGAATTTCGATAATCATTTTTCACAAGAAAATCAGACGGTCGTCATGGTCGTTTAAAAACATGATAATACTTTTAGTATGATACAGTTCTTGCATCAAATCAATTTTTAAAGTATGGGGGGGGGGGTCAGGTAACTCAAAGCGATTTGAGTGCAGGCGTGGTGTCCACGGGTACAAAGGGCTGAACCCCCGAAAGCTCAGGGGTTTTAGGCATTTAATTACGGTCAGATGAGCATATTTTTAATACCTTATTTGTGACACTGGCAGGTCTATCACTAATTGACGTGGGGTCCATAGTTGAGTTGCGTACCAACTACGCTGAGCTGATAGTAAGCTGGCCTACGTTACTATACCCTGAGGGACGCAAAAAAGTACGCAAGATGGACGCAAACAATTTAATATGTTTAACAAAATTCGCGTACTTTCGGCGTAGAAACTTGACGCAGGAAGTACGCCTTTTTTACGTAACACTACGCTACTAAACTAAACAAACTGCATCTTTAAATGAATTAATGAAAAATAAGCCCAAGAAAAATGAGCCCCCGAAAGATAAAAAAAAAAGTAGCCCCCAAAAATTTTCCCAAAATTTGATATAGATCGAGTCCCCGAAAAAAAAAAATCTTTCACTGGATTCTACGCTCACAGTACCACACACAGTCGAGTCAATTTGTGCACAAACCGTCCGATTTTTCGCGTAAAATCTTTACTTTGAAAATAATTATACACATTTTGTGAACAATGCCAACATAATCATAATCCAAGCCTCTGCATATGTAGTCTTTTCATGAAACTACATTGAAATCACAACAATAATAATGCAAATAAATAGTAATTATCGAGATCCTATCTGACATAGTTTGTTTTACGATGCGCCATTCATGGTCAAACAGCATATATTATAAAAATTCTCTATATAAAGATAATCTAAATTTTTTTTGGATAGCACATAGGCCTCTATCTATCTATCTATTTGGCCCCCTCCCCTAGAATACCGTGGATTTTCCACGGGTCCTGCTAGTGTAACATATGATGTTGATATCACTTAGGCCTAGCCTTAATTGGCACCCGTACCCCTGCGTGAAAAGGCAGGTAAACAAAACCTAAAATCAGTAGGGGCACTGGTCCGAGAATAAGGATCGTCCGCATTTTTCGTTGACGATTTTGATTTCCCATCCGTGCGTTGGTGATGCGAAAAAAAGGATTCCGCGATGATTTTCTTCATGCATTTCACATTGACTTTGTACAGATACTTTCACGTTATGAGCGATAAATCCTCGGGAAGACGGACAACGGCATAAGGGTAGTCCATGAAACTGGGGGTATTCTATTAAATGAATCAGTTTCTTGCATTGCCAGCGCACGCACATGGATCGGGAACCCGAAATCTCCAGAGCGTCGAAGAAAAAAAAACGTCAGCAAAAATGTGGACGATCCTCATTCTCGGACCAACGCCCCTAGTCCTACTAAAAATGTGTACGAAGTACGAAATGTGCAACGAACATTGCTCAGTGGCGTGCTAGTGCCAGTGGACTCTTTCACTTTCAGTTTCTTCACATAAAAAGCACTTTGAAAATTAAATATAAAATATACTGCGCAGCATTGAATATGTGTGCATTCAGATTGCGTTTTTGTATTCATTCGACAATCGGACCCACATGCGATTTGCACAATGAAGACAACGGAGATGCATATTTTTTCTCTCTTGCAGATGCCTCGTTCAAGGTACCAGTCACCAAGTAGGTACTCCAGTCGCCATCGTCAAAGGAGGAAACAAAGGACTCCATCTTATGTCAGAGATAGGGACGGAGATGACGGGGATTTCTATGCCAAAGATTACGGGGCTTGCAGATATCGCTCTAGGAGGTACATGATGTAGTTGAATGTAGATAAGCTTACCTAAATAAAATAAGAACTCTGCCATTTTACGAACTTATACTGTGAGGAAGCAGACAATTTAGAAAAGCAGGCTGGTGAAAGTGTTTTTTTAAATAAATAATAATAACAACAACATTTGTACTTGTCTGATTTTAAGATGTCACAGATGCAAGAGGTGATAGCCTATGTTCTCTTTTAAACACATACTGTACATGTACCTGGTGGAAGTGCAATCAACTCTGCAGAACTCAAAGTTGCATTAGTCAAATTTCCCATAGTTAAGTCAATTTTGGGGACCAAACTTTGCAAAGCACTGCCGAAGTTGAATTTTGCATCAGTGTAATTATTTGTTTGCAGCCCCAATAGATTTGACCTATGCAGAGTTAACTGTTGTCTAAAAATATACGCTTCCCAGCTCGATTTCTCTTTTTTTCAATCGTAGAAATATGTAAAAAATAAAACATAATTTAAAGGAAGAGATAGTGTCACTGGTATGGAATACCGATCATATGAAAATCACATGATGTATTAAGCTAGATTTGATCTTGCTCATTTGTAGCCGAGAATACTACCGAGAACCTTCACCATCACCCCAAAGCCGGCACTGCAGAGACTACGACCGTGACAGGGGGCGAGGTAACTACTACGATAATCACTTCAGAGATGACTTCAGGCACGAAAGCTCGCACAGAAAACGCCACAGTAGGAGATACCGAAGGCCTCGGAGACGCTCAGATAGCTATTCAACGGTAAGTTTTAACATTGAATTGGGACCCGCTTCACTGACTGATCTCTGCATAGATTATCTTTGCAGGTGCAATTTGGTTTGCTCCTTTGCAGAGCATGACCCATTGCGTATGCTTCTTTTCAATGGTCAAAAGGGAAGGATGAAACACAATAAAAGTGCATAGAATTGCATCTCAGTTTTTCAATGAGACCACTGTAAAAAAAAAAAAGTGGCAAGGTTCTTTGACTTCTTGCGCTACATGTACCCTGGTATGATGTCTCATCTCAAGCTTAGCAGATTGCACTTTCAACATGGGCCATTAAGAGATGGGCTCTATCTTTTTTCTCTTTTTCAAGAGGATTTTGTGGATAGATATCTTGAGATGCTTTGGAAAGAGTTCAATTTTTGTAAATGGTCCCAAAAAACAAGCTTCCTTGTCATTTAATTTTCACTGTTTTTTTTTTTTAATTGAGTAGTGTACAAAAAGATGGTAAGTTCATATACTGGAAAGGAAAAATTACTGTTGGCTTCATTGCTTGTAATAGAGCTAAGTTTCTTTTGTATTTTGTATTTTCTCACTTCTGTCATTTTTGGTTACAAGAAAGTGTCCAAGGGCAATTACTAGGTCTTTATTTGAACTTGTGTGCTACTCTGAGAAGTTTCCCTTTTTATTTCTTCTATTTTTATGAGGTGCAAAGTCAATATTACAAATATTTTATGGTGTTTTTAAATGTTGGGGAAAGATGATGAGAAAAAGAGTGAAAGAAGAGAAAATGAACAGACTCCTTATGGGGTCTTACTCTGGATTATGGCCTTGATGGACATTTATGGAAGAGGCATTTTAATCACAGAGAGGAAGAGCGAAAGAGAGCACAGGAGAGAGTGATGGTGATAAAAGCACACTGATTCTAGTTATGTATGCCATTTGCATCCCTATCTTATCTTCTGTATGTATCCTCATGAAACCATTTGTGGGCCAAAACGATGTTGCTCACCCAACAACCTCCAATCACTTGCCCACCTGCTGTGTCAACCTCATATCTGCCCCCAACGCCAAATGGAACCACTCAATCTCTTCCACCCAATCCACCAACCTACCTACCAACCCATCTTCTACTCACTCCAACTCAACTGATGATGGATGTCTTACTGCTGCTAACCATTGATCTTGTCAAATGACCTTTGGGCGATGATGTTGTCGGCACGGTTTTCGGGTGTGGCTTCTGCTGTTGTTGACTGGTGTAGAGTCGGCATAGGGAGGAGGGGCACAGAGCAAGCGTTATAGATGACGATGAGGGTCATTTGATCTATCGACCAGGCGACTGCTTGCAAGCAAGATGTACACATGCAGCTCCGTAATTTTGTAGCGCTCCTTTTAAGAAAAGTCACAACTTTCCCTTAACATTTCCATCTCTTCCATTCACAACATACCACAACACATTCCCAAGATGAACACAAGAAAATACACAGAGCCTACCCCTCTCTTTCCTTCAAGTCAAGTGAGTTTGACTGGAATGAAAAATGTACCTTGATCAAAAATTTCTTTAGACATAGATCATATGTTTTTCATTGCAAAGAGTCTTACTTCTTTGCTTATTACTTGAATAATATTTTCTAGTGCATGAAAAACAATTTCTGTAGACCTTCAACTTTTATTTGTTTGCCATTTATATTCTTTGGATGTTTAATGACTAAGGAATTGCTTTCAATGTAATGAAGGCAGCTTTTGCTTAATATTTATACACTAATTGCCCATTTCGTTTGATTTAGGAAATTAGATACGTTGAGTACCTAGTGTCATGTGTGTGAGACACATCTGCCACCTTTAGGACACAACCTTTTGTAAAGACATGGCATTTACATTTTTTCCTTGCCATTGATATGTTGAAATGAATGATTTCTTCTACAGCAGGGATCTGTCTTTTTATAGACCTTTTTTTCTAATACTTGCCATGTTTTCTCTCCTCTAGATGCAATTACCTCCACCTTAGGGGAGGGTACTTTTGGAAAGGTTGTCCAGTGCAGGGATAACATGTCTGGGTAAGTTCAATGGAAGCATTCGGCTACCCGCCCAACAGAAAATACCTGCTACATGTAGATCTAAATCTTCCTATAAACATGCTTAAATTTGATCGTTTACATGTATGGCAGTCAAATACCTTTTAAACTACATGCATACCTTGGTTAATATCAGACTATCTTGTATGAAGTTATTTTTATGCCTCCGCAACGATGTAGCCGGAGGTATTATGTTTTTGGGTTGTCAGTACGTCCAGTTCTCGTTATCACGTTATCTCAATAACCGGTTGGTTTTTATCTGCCACAAAAGTTTTCGGCCGTGATGATTATGATTATTATCTGTGTCAAGCCATTATGTATGGAAATTATTTCTTTAATTATTTGTATATGATATATGGATATACTGTATATGATGGAATTTGTTTTGAAAATAAAGAACCCTGTGGAAGGGGGGAAAAATATTTAAAAAAAAAAAAAAAATGACCTATGGATGGTTTATCGTCAAATTCAAGACATGTATTTATCTTGCTGATTCAATGAACCGATTAGATTTTGGGGTCATAAGGTCAAAGGTCATGGGGATGATGATGGGGCTCATTATGTATGCAAGAATAGCGTTACTAGAACGATGGACTGATTACCATCTTGAATTGATTTTGAACGAACAGCTGGGAAATTGATTGCGTTCTGCAGTCAATGGCTTTCCTCTCTCCTAACCACATGTCCCCACTATCTTGATTGATCTCATGTGAGATTTGTATCGGTCATTCAGATTGGAGCAGATCTGCATTCTTCTTTCTACTGTGTAGGGAGGTCTTGATAGAATCCCCCTATTCATATCAAGTATACTATACGTATACCAGAGTATGTGTAAGAAACGATGGCGACTTGCATTTTTGTAACTTGAATTTTTTTCTGTATAGGGGTGCTAAAATAGCACTAAAAATCATCAAGAACATTGAGAAGTACAGGGAAGCTGCTAAACTGGAAATTAATGTGTTGGAGAAAATCAACGAGAAGGAGGGAGTTGGAAAAAGGTATACTTCCTTCAAATAACGTCTTTGTTTTATATAAACTGTCAAAATAACTATGTGAAAAACTAAGAGTGTGTTTTTATTAATTAGTTTTGCCAAAGAATATATGGAGATGGTTTACGATTGCAAGCTTGCAGACATTTGTACATGTAGGTCACATTTAATGAATTTCAGCTGTATGCTATCTTGTAATCCTATAAACTGAGAACTTCAGTCTATTCTATTGTTTGTGTGTTTATATAGGTTTAACACTATTCTGACTGGGCTTTTTGAGAGCCAATTTTTGACTGGGATGGAGGGGGGGGGGGGGGGGGGGTCAATATGCCTTTGTGTTATTCTGCCAGACTTAGTAAACATTGCACTATTTGATTTCATTATACCCTGTAACACTTAACAATCGTGTGCTAGATTAATAACATGTGAGATATACAGTGTGAGTCAAAAAAAAGTTTGCACCTAGAAAATTGCTAATTATTTTAACAATCATCTATGAACAGTAAACTATTATACATCTTATGAAAGAGTGTTTTATCCCAAATCATTTGGTATGTGTTCACGTTAGGATGAACAGGAGGCATTGTTTGCGAGAGTGCAAAAATCGACTTGCGCCAAAGTGATGGCTACAGTATGTATGATGTTGGGATTAGCGCAGTGAGAGAATGAATTGAATGTATCAAATGAAATGCATTATGTATGCCTTTTGCAGAAGCAAAGCCACACACACGCGCACAAAATATTCGTTGATATTTGATTTTTGATATTTGATATGTGTGGCATAATCAATTTTGTTAAGGATATTATTTGGATCTGAAAAGACCGAATTAATACCCAAATCCCGATTGTTTTATTCAAACATCACATAAACAACTTTGGCGCAAGTCGGTTTTTGCACTCTCGCAAACAATGCCTCCTGTTCATCCAAGCGTGAACACATACCACACAAACATGATACCAAGTGATTTGGGATAAAACACTCTTTCATAAGATGTATAATAATTTACTGTTCATAGATGATTTTTTTTTCTTCAAATTAACAATTTTCTAGGTGTACACTTTTTTTTGACTCACACTGTATACAATATTAAATATGATTGTAGCATAAAATGAACTGCAATATAGATATTTCAAATTATAAGATTTGACAGGCATAGATATCCGTCAATACAAATATTAATTTGCAACTTGCGTGTGAAGATATATGACAGGCATAGATCTGCTGTTATAAATGTTGTTATTTGCATTCTCTTTGCAGCTTGTGTGTGAAGATGTATGACTGGTTTGATTATCATGGACATGTCTGCATATCCTTTGAGATTCTTGGTCTCAGCATATTTGACTTCCTGGTAGGTATACTGAAAAAAAAAGATACAGTACATATAGGTTTGACATTCCAGCAAGGTTCTCAAGATGGAGTAAAAGAATAAGCCAGTTCAAAGATGCAATCTGCACATGGGCAGATAAAGTTAATTTGTACCAAAATTGTATAACGCATCAAGATGTATACTGGATTCTGCTCATGAAAGATTAATTTATTTATTCATGGATGGCAGATTCTCTGATACACAGGTGGCAGTATTCTTCTCAAGAGGGCTTACAAAAGGTATTAATGAAGCACCTCCACTACTTTGGCAGTGATTATTCTAACATGCTAAAAGTGGGATGTCTCCATTTATAAAATATCTGTAGATATTTGGGGGTCATTTGTTTCAAAGCTCACTACAAACAGGTGTATTCATTGTAAATGTATGAATGTGCTAGCTAACATGATGGGGGGATGTTACAAGTAGTTGTAATGTTCATGACTTGATAGCCATAGTGGCAGCCATTTTAAAGCCTGGGTAGTAATCATGGAGCACCAGGGGTGCAAAGTCTGACAGACATGAGCGCACTACTCAAATCCACTATTATTGTGCATAGCGTACGGCTATCTTACATATGGGATCTCCTTATAAAGAGAAAGCGGAGTTATGGGAAAGGTGAACAATTATTGATGAGCTTTTTCATTCTTGTTATATTCGTATGGAAGAGAATCATAGAAAAGAATGTCGCCTGAATACGATGACTCTTCAAATGCCCTCAAATATGAAATATGACACGTAACGGCTAGAGGCTGTGGACCATAGTTTCATGTCACATGTCACATTTTGATGATTCCAAAACCTCACACTATCAATATTGCTTATCTGCCACATGATCAAGTTTGCTTTCCCTCAGTTTCAGGATCATGTAAAAAGACAAATTAATGTGATTTAAAAAAAAATCTTAAATGAATAGTAATGAAAGGAGTAATTTTTTTGCAATCAAAAGTCAATATTAAACAAGCTTTTGTAATCCTTTTTTATTGTTTGTACCTTACAGAAAGACAACAACTACCAGCCTTATCCTTTAGATCAAATTAAGCGCATGTCCCACCAACTATGCTCAGCTGTCAAATGTAAGTACATCAATCAACCTGGGGCTGTATTCTGAGAACGATGTTATATTTCATGTTGGGGAAAAACAATTTTAATTGTCATCATGCATTAACAAGCTGAATTCTGCTGTACTTACACTTTACCATTAGTGCTTGGGCGGATGTCTCTTTCAACTTAACACAAATGCAGCCAGCTTTACATAGGCATTAACCAATAATTTGTTGTACATTGTTTTCAGAAAACCACCAATTGTATTTCTTTAAAAAATCATTACATGTATGTTAGGTCGAAGATGTTGAGTACATTTATTATTTGAGTACAATTATTTTGATATGCAATTGCCTAAGTGTTCAGCATCAAAGAGAAATCCAACCTTAAGAATAAATCAGAATAAACTACTCTAAAAGAAAGATAAATCAGAGAAGCAGACTGTTGAATGAAATTGGACAAAGAATGTGAGGTATTTTGAAAAGCTGTACTCACTATATGTGTGGGGATAGATTCAGTGATCTCATGTTTAAAAAGCTCAAAACTTCTCTTTTATTGGGTCCGATTTAATTAAAACCTCCACCATTTTGTTGTCTAATTTTTCCGTTTTTAAACAAACAAAAGCATTGAAAAGGTTCGATTGCCCTTGAAGTTACCTGCGGTATGATTTATGCAAAGTTTAGTTGAAAGTAAACTAATCTATATAATCAAAATTATAAGTAGCATCCATTTTCTATCATTTTTCTTTGTTGTTTAGTTCTGCATGATATGAAGATAACTCACACAGATCTCAAACCAGAGAACATCCTCTTTGTGGATTCTCGCTCCTCCATCAAATATGATCCAGTCAAGGTAAGATAGTTTATTAACTTTTTTGTTCGATATCTGTACTAGGGGAAGGGGGGATTTAGGTAGTGCCTATCGAGCTGTTGTGAAGAAAAGATTTGAAGGAGAAGTCCACCCTGATAAAAAGTTCATATTAAAGCAGAAAAACAAGAGAAATAAATAAGTGAAAGTTTGACCAATTTTTTTTTTTTTTTTTTTTTTTTAATAGAATTTTGTGTGCTCATAATTATGTTACTAAAAAATCTCAACTGTGATTATAGTCTATGGAATTCTTTAAAATTCAGAAATTTATGGTTTATGACACAAACATAATACAATTATGGAACCCAAATTGAAAGGTACTTCGTAAAAAAACGTAATATGCCACTGAAAACATTTAGGAGCAATCTTTGTAGAGCAGACTGACAGTGACCCGTTGACACAAACCTTATTTAATATTTAACATACAGAGATGCCAACCAGTACGATAATAAGAGTTAAATATGATATCATCTCTTAAAAACCCATAAAAATCGCATAGAATCGCATAGAAACATGTACAAGTAAATCCCTGCAACCCCAACAAAAACTTTGCTTTACAATTTTTTCTTTAAATTTTAATGACAGAGCAAACATTTTACTTGATTATACTTACCATTGGTAGTGTTGAGTTTTCGTGAAAATCTGTTTTTTCTCTCCAAAATCTTATTTTTTAGGATATTGTTTTTTGGTGTCAAGAGGTTGGCATCTCTAAACATGAATCTAGTCTTGGAAATGAATCATTATACTGTTTGAGCATTTGCAGAAACACAAAATAATGAAATCAATACATTCTGATTATTCTTTCAGAAGCGAGACGTGAGGCAAGTAGTGAATTGTGACATCAGGCTGATTGACTTTGGGTCAGCAACGTTTGACCATGAACATCACAGCACTATTGTTTCAACGAGGCATTACAGGGCACTGGAGGTCATCCTAGGTTGGTAACCTTGTACAGATCTCCTAGCTCAAGCTATGACAGCAAAATTAACCATTGTCTATTTTACAAGTATATCCTCTCGTTAAGATGCTATTCTTGTTGCTATAAAGCTTATCTTTAGTTCAGATAAAAAATATCACTTTGAGTGAAAATGAAACTAAGTATTTCTGTATCGTTTGTCATACAATAGATAGGATGGTTTGGACCCGCCAGAATCTAAACATGTCAATGAGAGCTTAGTGAAAGTAACATTCACTCAAATAGCTCATTTAAAGCATACTGACCAGGACAAAATTGGTCATGTAAATTTGGTATTTTACTGTTGCTTGTTTGCTTCTTGTTTATATTTGGTTTAAGTGATGGTTTATATGTAAATCCTTCTTTGTGTCAAGCCACATCAAGTAAAGATTTGACTACAAGGTGACACTATTTCTCTCTTTTTATTTGGTACAGAGCTTGGTTGGAGTCAGCCATGCGATGTATGGAGTATTGGGTGCATCATATTTGAGCTGTATACTGGATTTACACTGTTTCAGGTAAATATCTAAACAGTCTTGATCTTGAAAAGGTTAACATTTTGAGGTTGAAATTAAGTTAGTCAAAACATCAAGTTCTTTACAGATAATCTGTGGCCTAACTTTAAAAAATTCAAAATAATTTAGCAGATGTTTCTGCATTTATTGATAAATCAAATATAAAACATTCAAATAATAATAATAGTATAACATATAATTGATTTACATAAAGAGTGACAACTTAAATACACACACATAGAAATGCATATATATATATATATATATATATATAATTGAAAGTTTGAAAGTATGGAGGTAAGTAAAATAATCAAGATAAATGCAGAATGCCTATGTCTTACCTACGGACATTGGTAAAACTACTGTTAATTGAAATCATTTTACTGCCATTGTGAAGACTAATATAAATGGAATTGTTTTGATGTTTTACATTATTTCACTTGTCTCATGGCAATAAGTATACTGATTTCTTTGTGTAGTGAAAATCTTTTGACATCAAACCATACTTAGATTGTGAATTCTACCGTTAATGATATTCTTTTCATGTTGTACATCATTTCACTAGACTCATGATAACAGGGAACATCTTGCCATGGCCGAGCGAATACTGGGTAACTTTCCTTCATGGATGATCAAGAGAACAAGGTAGGTCAAAAACAAATGTTACCACTTACGGGGAAACAAACCTCTGAAACGCAAGATCTATTTTTTCTGGCTTCATAAAAAAGACTGGAAATTGTTTTAATAATTGTGGCTTGTTATAAAGTGCATCAGATAAGTCAGGCATGATTTGGGGTAGCGCCATATTATAATGTTTGGTTCATTTGAGAAATGAATGAGAATGAGTGACTGGGATCTTGCCTGATAATTGTTTTCCTGTAGACAAGACATTCAATTTATGTACAGTCGTCCCTCACAACCCAGTTGTAATAAATGTGTGTGTGGTAGTTTCCCTTGTAATAAAGATTTACAAATATGTTGGAATTGTTTCTTGAGAACTGGTTTCACAATGTGATTTACTGCAAACACGGGAAGGATTATAATCAGGCCTCCTTTTACACTATTATCATCCACTGTAGAAAGAGCAAGTACTTCTACCATGACCGTGTGGACTGGAATCAGGACAACTCATCTGGTCGCTATGTCTGTGAGAACTGCCACCCGTTTCGCTACTACCTTGACAGCAATGCTGATGAGCACCGCCTTCTCTTTGATACCATTGAGGAGATGTTAGAGTTTGATCCCTTCAAGCGGGCCACATTGAGTCAGGTCCTGGATCACCCTTACTTTGCTGATATTCACTATCGAGGGAATAGAGACATGCATAGTATCAGCAGGTGACGCTAGGCCCAAACAGAGACTTTATCTTTTTCTTTTTTCATATTTAACTTTACATATATTTTCATTTCCGAACATAAAATGAAACGATATACCATGATGACATGTGCAGAGCATGGTTGCTAATCACATATCATGGCTGGACTTGCCTGACATAGCTTCATTCAGATGTCTGCCACGGATACACTTGTGTTATTCAAGCTTCTAATTCCCTTTGATGTTGCATCAGATAGGTTTTCTCTACATCCTCATCTTGGTATGAACTTTGAAGTAGAACATGACAAACCTAAAGCATCTATGCTTCCAAAGGAGAGCTAGAATGTGGGTCAAACACTTGTGTCAAAAGATCATTGTTGGACGTATGGATGGTTATGAGGAAATAATTGAAGATTTCCAGTTGTTTGGGGATGATATATAGCATGATTTTTTTTGGTCTCTGAAATTACTTCTCTCATAGAAAGAGCTATTTTTTAAAGACACATTGCCCTCCGATCATTACCTTGATGCTCATGCTAGAGTAATGCTAATGCCAAGAAGAAAATCTTTGAGAGATGAAGCTCTGTTTGGTAAGACTCTAGAGATGCCCAACTGGTGAGATTTAGAATTATTCCACTCCTTTACTTTACTATTGTTTTGGCAAACTGACTTGTCTCACTTCTTCTATTGCTAGCTTTGATTATCTGTCCCATTGATTTTTGTTTGGTCTTAATTATTTTATTTATTTAAAAATATTACATGCAAATATTCAGTATTATGAAACAAATTAAGGTAAGAGCACTGCAACAGCATGCCAAAATGAATGCAAGCATGCCAAATTGGGAATGCTGCCAAATAAATGTGGTGGTTATTAGACTTGTGTATTTGATGATGATGATTATGATGATTATAATAGTTATGAGGATGACGACTTTGACAATGACAATGGTGTTATTGAGGATGCTTGTGATGATGGCTGTGGTGGTAATTAAACGTTCATTATGCAAGGATATCACTTTAGTAGAGTCTCCAGCTAGCTTTTGGGCTACATGCTTTCTTAATATGATTCAATCTTTACATATTTATCTGCTCTTAGACTCCCAGAGCTCCTGATACTGTTGTTGGTGATGAAAGAACTACAGATTTCATTTGTGTTGCACAATATTGTGTAACAATATCAATGCTGCCCTCTCATCAGATAACATTGAGAGGATCACAAAAATTGTACTCTCATAAAACAATAAGCTTACAATCTAGGAGTATATAAACTTTAAATTCTCTTGATTGCTTGAAAAGCCTTGTTAGAATGATAATGGTTTATATTTGTATCATTTATTTTTTGCAAACATCAGCTGAAATCACAGAGAGGGTCAGAATTCATCGGCTACAATTTGGGAAAGTCTACAGAAAGGAGGAAGCAATTCATAATTCAGGTTGAAATTATCTAGTTATTTATAGTTTGTTGCATGGTACTAAATAATATTTCTGAGTATTTTGGCCAGTATGTTAGTTTTGAAGTCATTACATTGGATTCAGATTTAATGCCCCTAACATGGCTGAATGTTAGAGGAGTGCATTTAATTTTTGTTGTCTTCTGCAAGTAGTGATCATGTGATGTGGAAGAATGATCAGAATTTGGAAACCAGAGAGATACTACCGTAGCGAATGAGACAAGTTGTATTTTAAAGTAGACATTCATTTGATTTCAAATATTTATTTATTTTGTATAATTGCATAATGATAAGGGGCGGTTATATTGAACAAGTTTATCAAATTTCCTGCATGGAAACATTTAAGGTAACGATTATTATCAATTTTAAAATGATAGAATACCTCCCCACTTTCACAATTGAAGAGCTCTCCAAACACTGCTGACATTTGTGATGTCATGCACGGGTCCGAATTTGCATAAGCAAACAATGTCCCATAACAGTGCACACATTTTCAATACCTCTATCATCATCTCATCTTGAGGGGTGATTTTATTTGTTAATTTAGTATTGTCCGATACGCTGTTGACCTAAAACTTATACAATTGTCACGTGTAAGCTACCTGGTTGAAAGTAATACATTATTGGCCATATTTGTGATTTCCTTTGAATGTCTACGTTGAAGGTACTAGGTCCCATTTGCAGCCATCGTCAAATTCTGTAGAACTTTGCAGGAATTAGGAATATGTCACGTATGTCCTATCTGTGAAATTTAAACTTCTTAGGTAATAACATACCGGTACAGTAAAATGAGCTTTGCGCAGCACAAAACGTACGACCATTTGGTACAAGGGCCTGAAAATCAGATTATTACTTAAATGATTGCAATCACTTAAGTTGATTTGACAACTAATGCTCTTTATTTTCCCATTAAAAGACATTTTCAAGCACTTTCGTTATGAGGGAAGTTCTAAATTAGTATTATCCTTCAAATGCCATAGGAATTTAACCTTTTCATTTTTTGGGCCTGCAGTGTAGTCGTACCTTTAATGAAGTCGACTTTTAATTGATTTTGTACTCGTACTCTTGTCACTTCCACCATTATAGGTCTGATATTATACTATACACTGATTTTTAGTTCCAATTTAATGACAATTTACAGACTGTATGAATGAATTAATTTAGCTTCTAAAGATTGAATATGTACTTGAAATATAGCATTACTGTTTTGTTTTTGTTACAGGGTAGATATATGGTAATTAAATGAAAAATGTATTTATGGTTCATTTTTCTGCAACTCATAACTATCAAGGACTTGAATAAGGCAACCACCTGCTCCTATATCTGTATTCCTTACATGTCCTTTACTTCTGAAATCATACAAATTTCTCTTCTTTGTTAATAGTGTTGTATAGATATATTTATGAAACCTCATTATGTATTGAACATTAGATCAGATCGGCTGTATTTGTCTGTCTAGGAAACAGATTAACCAAACAGTTGTAAAACACAATCTTTTATTTCTTGCAGAATTATCAAGTCATATGTGTGCATGGATTTTAGTTTTCTCAACTGATATTACTTCTACTCAACAGCATATACCGTATCTAAACTAAGTGTTGAAAGCTGGGCATTTAATTCTGTCTGCTTCATATTGCAAATGGTAATTCCATGAACACGAAATTACTCCATTCAATTTGAAAACGTTCTGGTAGCAATATTCTCCTTTTAGTAAACAAAAATGTGACTATTTTCTAACTTCTTGTTGACTCTAACAAGACCTTACATTTTGTGAGATTTTACAATTTATATTGTAATATCCCCCAATGTAAAATTGGTAGCACATATTTTATTCTACAATGAAACAGATTGTGTGCTCTGCAGCTCGTAACTAAGAAAGTACCTACTCTACAAAATTTAAGTGGATAACCCACCAAATATAAAGTAAGACAAAAAGGATTGTTGTTTTCTAACAGTTGTTTTCTTCTGTATGAATATTTTATGAACAATAAATGTGTATATTTATGTCATGTTATCCGTAATTGCCTGTGAATGGTTTTGTACTGTGCATGTGTTGAAGAAAACAAAGTTGTTTATAGGCAGTGCATTGACAGGAAGATTTGTGTTCTGAGGAAGAGAGAGGAAAGAGTGAAAATGGGGCAAGAGTGTGAGAAGGTACGAGGAAAAAGAAATGAAAATGATTAAGGAAAGTTGCAAAGAGACGAATAGAGAGTGGATAAAAAGAAGCAGAGGCAGGTAATTTTTTTAAATCAAAAATAAAATACAATTGAGACTGAACCTAGGTCTTGTTGCCAAATTGTTGCTTGATTGAAATATACAAGATATGTGTAGTAAAGGTGCATGTAATATATAGGTGCAAAGAACTCTAATGCTGGGATTGAGCCAAACTCTATTTTATTCAACTAGTCAAATTCAAATATTTTTTTTTTTTTTGTTATGAAATAAATATAAAAATTAATACCATCTCAAAAATCATAAAACATTTGATAGATTCTACAAGAAATAAGAGCACACGTATCTTCACTCGCTGAATGACAGAAAAATAGTTCTTTTATTGGTCTTTCAAAATAATTTTGTTTTATTTCTTTTCCTAAAGAAGTACAGAATGCATTTAATATCAACAAAGCAGCTTGACTGGAACATGGACCCAGGAGATGCTGTAGCAATATATTATCCTTGAACTGTGATGCAACACAAGGCATAAAAGACAAGCCAACTATAATCAACATTATCACAGTCATCACTTTCACAAACGCTGCATTCAGCAACAAAATTGATATTGATGGTTGGCTCAGCAAAATTTGCCATCAGATTTTGAAAATGGCCAACAAAAGAAAGAAAAAAAGAGCTTCTTGAAGACAACAGATCCATCAATTGGACATAGTGCCTATTATATCTGAACATGATTGTCAATGTAGCAGTCACGAATAAAGTTTCTACTTTCATTACCTTCATTGTATTATCATTTGGGGCATCTTCATCAAAAGTATTCCATATATCAAGTCCAAACTCATTACTTGTAACATCTTATTAAATAAATGAGACTGTGCAGCATATTGTTACCTACAACTACACCTCAATTTGGTATACAATCAAACTTCATGAGCATAATTGGGTCCATACACAACAAAAATTGATGTTCTGGTTTATTAGTTCCTGCGTATTATAAATTGATCTACTTTTACATAAACACTTTCTCAGTTCAAATATCCTGGTACTACCATTGACGATGGTCTCAAAGGTAATACAAAGTTTTGGGAAATTTTGAAAATTGGGGTGGATAGTGAATCTTTACAACTTTGATATATTTGAATGCCCCTGTGGATGTATTATAAGCACTAAAAACATTAGCCCCTAAAACACTTCTGTTTTCGAGAAAAATTGAATACAAAAATTTACCGGTGCTCCCGGTAAATTTTGATAAATTTCAAATGGCGCTTATGGCCGTACAATTGTAGCTGCGAACATGAAAATCTCAGAATATGTAGTTGTGATATAAAATTTCCAAACGGGAATAGCTAATCGGTCAATTTTAGTCAAAAAACATTGTTTCATAGCTAAATTAATATCTTGACCTTGAGAGGGAGCTATACAACATAAAGAGTTTATTATTTACAATTTCATCACTTTAGACTCGATTTCAACCGCGACAACAATCAATGAATATTGTAGGAATGCATATGCTTCCAATATGTTCATTTGAACCAAATTCATGACCCCATACCAAAACTTTGTAATACCTTTAGGTGCAGGACCGATGTAAAGCATTTGGTAATAAGAGACTATAAGATGGATGGACTTTCTCACAAAAATGAAATCATTTCATCTCGATTGCACTGTAATAGTTTGGTTCTACAAATTAGTAACTGAAAGTGTCAATGGGTTTAATTGTGTAGTTTGATATATACCACTTCTTGTAAGTTGTTGGACCTCACTATGTAAAGTAAACTTGTAAATCAGGCCAAGAAGATAACATAGAAAGAGATACACTTTGAACTTGAAGATCTGTGTAGAAATAGGATTATAGAGCAAGAATTAGTTTTGATTGAAACTATGTGATAAATCGCAGTCTGATAGTGTGGTTGCATCATATTCGTCTATTTACACCATTCTGACAAAATGATTTCTATTAAAGGCCCACTGTACTACTTGTAGCTACTTGCTCCCTCTATATAGAAATCAATGCTTAATCGGTGACCATTGGTCCCCCATTATCCTCTTTAGTATTTGAGAGCCAAGTTGATGAGGTAGCCACCTGTCAGTGACTACCCTGGGTGGTCTAATCCCTGCTAGCCAAACTAGTACAGACGACCTTTAAAACCTTTCCCAAAGGTAGATATGATTATTGCTTCAAAGGTAAATGTGCATTTGTTTCCAATGTGATCAAAGATCTGCATGTACATGTAACTATCATGTGGTAATGTCCATGGTATTATGAAGATTCTATTAGATATGACTGGATATAAACAGCTCAAATCAGTGATTCTACAGCCAAGTCTCAAGTTCATACCAGGTTGACCAACCATGATATACATCAATACACTTTCACATTATCTACACTCATGATATGACAATTATTATTATTATTATTATTATTATTATTACTTATACCGCGCTTTTCCCATAAGGCCCAAAGCACTTACAATGAACAATGAACTATGAACTAGACTTGTAAATAATTTTTTTCCCCACTTGATATTGCATTAAATATACACATAAAGAAGAGCTCATAAAAATACACTTCGACACAAGTTTCTACATTTGCATATAAAGGAGAACAAAATTAGTCTCAAAGTCTCTTCACATCTAAATGCATACAATGTTATGCAAACATCTTTGGGAAATTATATTTTTAAAGCTAGTGACACTCCTGTCTAATACAAAGCAGACCCATATTTTAGGTAGTAGGCACACTGCTTAATAGAAAAAAGGTGTCCTAGCACAGCTTAGCAACAACTTTACTATATCCTCTGGACAACCACACCCCAAGGAAAACTATCCCTAAGGACAGTCACCCCAGGACAACTAGCCCTCTTGGTAAACTAAAATTAACCCACTGGGGAAAGTTAGTGATATCAGAACATAATGGTGGCAAAACTATAAGACAACAGACAAACAGATAACTCTAATTTATATGCTATACAGTGTATATTGAATTTCTGACAAAAAGATTCAGTGTCTTGGACCACATAGGTGTTTATGTAGTTGAAATGTAGTGGCAAAACACAAGTATTGTTAGATGCTGCTTGTAAGTATCGGCTTGCATGGTGATGTAGATATACAGTAGACTCGCGGATGCATCATGTGAGAGAGAGGGGGAGTCCTTTTCAGGACTCCCCAATCCTCCCCCTCTCTCTCACATGGTGCATCCGCAAGTCTACTGTATAAAAGTATTGTTATCAGTTAAATCAGGAAGTTAAAAGTTGTAATTCAAAATATCTGAGTGCCAATTTTGATATTCAGCCTATGTAATCAAGGTTGTACATATTTTCTACCATCTTAATATCCTTACTTTAAGGTTATACCTCTATGCTATAAAATTACAATTTATGAATTTTTATTCATTTTGTATTCCTGACACGTCTTTTTGTGCCACTATATTTCACTCAGCTCCCTTACAATACATACAGTATTCTATTTTTGCATTGCCCCATGTATTTTCTTTTGCGTTGTGTTAGAACGATGTTATACCGTTCTCCATGGACTTTCAGCTGCTAATGATCCTCTATATGATCAATGAATTCCTCAAAATTAAAGAAAAAGGCACCAAAAGATCATCTAGCGGACGATGAGAAGAGAAACAAGGTGTTCTTCATTCAAGCGCACATGCTATTCAATCCTACTATTAACAGGTGTCTCATTTTCACATAGTCTAAGATGTTTGTTCACATCTGGTATCAATGATCACATACACATTATTTGTGTGACGTTGTTTCACAGAGTTCCAGATGCTTGCTATCAAGTCAGCACTGTCCAATATACTGGCTTTCATGTTGTTCACATGAGGAGAAAGTCTGTGCTCTCAAGTTAGTTTTGTATCAGATGTCGATGATCACATAGATATCATTTGTGTCACCTTTATGGATCTGCATGTTGGAATAAGTGATAGCTTTCACCTCTGTGCCCTGCAAACATACAAGAAGAACAAAAAATAATAACAAAAGCAAATTACACAATCTTACATAGATTTGAAGATAAGTTAGTTCTCCAAAAAAACAAGAAGGTCAATGATGAATGATTATTCTGTCAATTAAATTATTCTCACCAATTCAATGTCTACTGATTTAGCATAAATATATGCTGGATCATTGCCTGAGAGCAAGTATAGTGCTATGCCATATCATTGCCTGAGAGCAAGTATAGTGCTATGCCATATCATTGCCTGAGAGCAAGTATAGTGCTATGCCATATCATTGCCTGAGAGCAAGTATAGTGCTATGCCATATCATTACCTGAGAGCAAGTATAGTGCTATACCATATCATTGCCTGAGAGCAAGTATAGTGCTATGCCATATCATTACCTGAGAGCAAGTATAGTGCTATGCCATATCATTGCCTGAGAGCAAGTATAGTGCTATGCCATATCATTGCCTGAGAGCAAGTATAGTGCTATGCCATATCATTGCCTGAGAGCAAGTATAGTGCTATGCCATATCATTGCCTGAGAGCAAGTATAGTATAGTGCTATGCCATATCATTGCCTGAGAGCAAGTATAGTGCTATGCCATATCATTGCCTGAGAGCAAGTATAGTATAGTGCTATGCCATATCATTGCCTGAGAGCAAGTATAGTGCTATGCCATATCATTGCCTGAGAGCAAGTATAGTATAGTGCTATGCCATATCATTGCCTGAGAGCAAGTATAGTGCTATGCCATATCATTGCCTGAGAGCAAGTATAGTGCTATGCCATATCATGCCTGAGAGCAAGTATAGTGCTATGCCATATCATTGCCTGAGAGCAAGTATAGTGCTATGCCATATCATTGCCTGAGAGCAAGTATAGTGCTATGCCATATCATTGCCTGAGAGCAAGTATAGTGCTATGCCATATCATTGCCTGAGAGCAAGTATAGTATAGTGCTATGCCATATCATTGCCTGAGAGCAAGTATAGTGCTATGCCATATCATTGCCTGAGAGCAAGTATAGTGCTATGCCATATCATTTAGCATAGAATCAATGCTCTTCAGACTATCTGCAGACAATACATACCAAAAAGTACAACTTTCAGTATTATTATTTTTATTTACAAATAAATGTAATTAAAAATTAAAAAACATGTTTACCAAGTAAACTAATACAACGTATGAATGTGATGGTTCCAAATGTGCAAGTAAAATAATACACATGTACACACACGCACCGCACCACACAAATGTATGAAAAATTGAATTTTCATTATAGCTGCACTAACTTGTACAATTTTAAAATGGATTTTATTTCTGTGCATTTAGCTTACCTGTGGATGCTTAACAAGGTCAAAATATTCTCCATACCTGAAAGATAAACATGTAAAAGCTCAAATCAACATCAGATACGAAGTCCAACCCTTACCTTTCATGTTACAGCAGCAGATTGTCAAGACCAATTTACATTGTAAACTTGCTCCAGTCTTACATTTATGCAGGCTGCATCTATAAATGATTTTGCTTTGCTTTTGTATTTTGGTTACGGATTGTAATCATTTGTTTTGCTTCATCTGGTACACTGTAGAGGGAAAGGTATCATGCCTCTTTGTTTCAATGTTTGGGGCTAATGTTATCACTATTGCCTCACATGCACAATATGGCTTCAATTCCTTAAATTTAAGATACATCAAAAATAATATTCAGAGTAGAATATATTGATTTTGATACATTCTAGCCTAGCTGTACATAAATTATTGATATCTAAAGGTGAATGGTACCCTTTTCTCAAGAGTTCAATACCAAAATAATATCATCAATAATATTTTTTCCTTACCCGGTTGATTTTATTGTAAATTTTTCCATATCGAACTCTGTGATCTTGACTTCCTATCATTTGGAACAAAACAAAAGAAACATTAATATGACATTTGCCAGAGATGAAGTTTAATAGAAGGATTTAAGGAGAAAACTAGATGGAATTTTGACTGCGCGCAGTCAAAAATGATGCCTCCGCCATAGAGCAACTTTACAAACCAAAACGGAAGCAATTTTTAAAATTCAAGTTTGATTGTAATCCATCTGTCGGTTTAATAATAATGCATTCACAAACATTTTATAGTCATACATAATGAGCCCCATGACCTTTGACCTGATGACCCTAAAATCTAATCAGTTAATTGCCTCTGCAAGATACATATATACATGTCTTGAGTTTGATAGTAATATGTCTATTGGTTCTCATGATAATGCGATCACAAGCTATTTGTGCATACATAATGAGCCCTGTGACCTTTGACCTCGTGACCCCAAAATCTAATCAGTTCATTGGCTCTGTTAGATACAAACATGACCCAAGTTTGGCAGGAATCCATTGACCGTTTCTTGAGATAACGCGATCACAAGCTATTTTTGTATACATAATGAGCCCTGTGACCTTTGACCTTCGACCTCGTGACCCCAAAATCTAATCAGTTCATTGGCTCTGTTAGATACATACATGACCCAAGTTTGGCAGGAATCCATTGATCGGTTCTTGAGATAATGCGATCACAAGCTATTTTTGTATACATAATGAGCCCTGTGACCTTTGACCTCCGACCTCGTGACCCCAAAATCTAATCAGTTCATTGGCTCTGTTAGATACATACATGACCCAAGTTTGACAGGAATCCATTGATCGGTTCTTGAGATATTGCGATCACAAGCTATTTTTGAATACATAATGAGCCCTGTGACCTTTGACCTTCGATCTCGTGACCCCAAAATCTAATCAGTTCATTGGCTCTGTAAGATACATACATGATCCAAGTTTGGAGAGAATCCATCAATTGGTTCTTGAGATAAGGCGATCACGAGAACGGGACGTACGGACGTACGGACGGACGGACAACCAGAAAACATAATGCCTCCGGCTACTTTGTAGCGGAGGCATAAAAACATAACTCTCAGTATGCTTTCATTGTATAGCTTGCAATTCAGTTATTAAGCAATCTTCAGAGATATTAAGAAGGATTTTGAGACCTGGTGCTGGGGGGGGGGGGTGACAAGGAAGCATGTATTGGATTTGGTAGGCAAATAGGTAAACAAAATCTGTGATCTCAGAAATTTGGTCAAAAGTTTCTCTCGGCTCCATTCGAAATAGCATGTGATTTCAAGGGTCTGAACTGACATGTACAAAGGGGTCTGGTGATCTGTGTGTCCTTACCTACTGTACCCAGTGGGAGTGGTGTTTGGCAAACACTGAGTGGCTACACAATGTTTACGTGGTACAAAATAACACTAATTTGATCAAAATCAGCACAAAACCTCCCAGGCATGTAGTGAAATTCTTTTGCACATAATAACAATAATCATAATAATATCTGGGTTTATATTGAAATCAATACATTAACAATTTCAGTAAGCAGTGTACAGATAGGTCATTCATAAGGACCCTAGTCATCGGATTTAGGTTTGCCCGCACACAATGTATGCACATGATCTCCCCCCCCCCCCCCCCCCCCCCCCCCCCCCGGAACATTTCCAGTCAGGCGGCAATCTACAAACATTCACAATGCTAGGTGAACTTCAATGATTTTCGCATCCTATTGGGTACCCACTTAACACCTGAATGAGCTACCACTGGGTTGAGAGTTAGGTGGGTGAATCATAACCACTGTACTGAGAAACCTCCGTATTATTGTGTTCATAGACTTAATTAAACACTGTGGCCCGAATTCACAAAGGTGTGCGTCATATGATGCGTTTCGACGCACATAAACGTAGGTTTGTTGACAAACCTCCTTTGTGAATTTGAGGCTTTTGGGCCTGTAAGAATGTATTCCTCTACTTTTGTTCAGGAGCAGACTTGACTTGAAAAACATAGAACTAAATCCTTCACTGATGTAGAGGTTTGCTTATGATCTTACCCTAGGAATGAAGAAGGGATCCGACGAGAAAACAAAGAGCCATTCATCTAAGAAATTGTAGAGTAAGGATTCCATATCTGATCCTACAAATGGAATAAAACAGAATATAGAGAATAAAATGGAAGGAGAGTAATAGATGGGAGACAGAGAGGGGTAGGGATAGAGGAGTGAGGAGAGAGAGAGAGGGAACCAGAAGGGAGAGAGAGAGAGAGAGAGAGAGAGAAAGAAGGAAAGAAAAAGAAAGTCAGAACAGATTGACAGAGATAGAAAGAGGGAGGAAGAGAAAGAGAGAAAGAATTGAAAGAGAGAAAAAGAAAGACAGAGAGGATGGAGAGAGAGCAAGAGAGAGAGAGGACGGAGAGAGAGAAAGAGAGGACGGAGAGAGAGAGAAAGAGGACGAAAAGAGAGAGAGAGAGAGAAACATATACATGTAGATACAGAGGGAGGGGGAGACATATATAGAATGGTAGTCACACAGAGATAAAAGTAAAGGTGAGAAAAAGGGTGAATACAAATAAAGTAAAGATAAAAACAACATTTTCTACCAAGCAAAAGGTCATTTGCAGGAGAAAGTGAAGTTTCAGTGTCTAATGTTCTTCTGCTTGTCACACAACAATGATTGGTATCTTACATACATTCAGAGCTTACAGTTATTACTCTGATTACAATATATATCATGCGAATGAAGCTCACTCTCACCTATTTAATATTGATAATCTTCCTTTATTATTATCATTATTATTATTTATTCGACCATTCATATATAAAAAGCACAAATACAATACAGCATAGCAAGAGACAAGTACATAATAAGGATTAACACAAAGAGATAAGGGAGCAGCAAGTGGGTCAGGGTGAACAAAAGTGAAGTTCATCACTGTTGCCCAGAGACATGCTACTCACAGTACATAATTAAAAATTATATACATAGAATATTGCACATGATAAAAGGGGGAAGATAACAAAAAAAGCAGTTTGACAATAGTTCCAAGCTTGATTTTTGATTTTTTACAGGAAATACCTTTCCTTTAAAATTTGTTCAATTATTTTGATCTGGAAATCGGACGTACGTTTAAAGGGTTGTGTACTAGCTGTTTGGGGCTGTGATCACGGTTTTACGCTGGCACTATGACTTGGAAAGTTGTCGGAGGGCTACAGGGCTGGAGCGGTCGGCTAGACATAGGAACATAAATGTACATGTAGTTGCGTAGGTCATATTTCTACAACTTACGCACATCTTATGCCAAAGTCAACGCATTTCACCCAGTCCCATCAAGATCGTCTTACATGAGGTTGGTTGTACTTGTAGATCAGACCATAAACCTCTTTATAAAGACCACCTGTCAAGTATGACCACTTTACTAATTCCCTGAAAGGTCTTACAATACAGAATGGCTTCTAAAATGTATTACCAAGATCATTCTTTTATTTCCAGTCTACATACTTCCTTCATCAACATAGAGAAAATATTGCACAAATCATGCTATGAAGACAACCTGTATGTTGAGACCACTTTCTGAAATTGCTTAGAGTGGTCTTTCTATACAGGTTTGCCCTATATCGATGATTTTACATGTACAGTCAACCCGTCTATAGCGACCGCCCAAGGGAAACACAAAAAGTGGTCCTTGTAGACAGGTTCCTTTAGTACATGTTTTAATGAGAAACCAATGTGGCCTTTGAAGACAGGTGGTCGTTGTAGACAGGTGGTCACTAAAGCAGGTTTGACTGTATAAACATACCTTCTGCCGGTACGTCTCTGGTTATGGTCTTCTCTACATGTTGGATGTCAGTCATGTAATTAAACATTGCTTGCACAACCTGTCAAGATTAATACACATAATTTCATCAATATCATCAATGATAATAATAATATTAATAATAATAATATAAATAATAATATTAATCATAATATCAAAAATAATATTAATAATAATAATAAAAAAGCAATAATAATAATAATAATAAAACAATGAAAATAACACCTAGAAATATCATAATCTGTATTGCCGGCAATGCGAATGTATCCCCCGGCAGTGGCAGCAATTTTGTGTCATCCTTATGTTTGAAGGAGGGACAAAGATGTACAAAGGGGCATTTTCCAAAGGGCAATTACATGTAGAAAGGAAAAGGGACACTTATCAAAATTTAGAGTAAATTTTATATTTAAAAAAAAACACTTATTAGTAGTACTACTTATTAGAAAGGAAAAAGTGGTACTTATCAGAAGGGAAAGAGCACTTAGAAAGGAAAAAACGGCACATGTCAAAGTAAAGGGGGCATTAATCCGAGGTGAAAAGGGACCTTGACATACCTAAAAAGGAGCACTCATTAGGGATGAAAAGGGCTCTTACAGTATTAAAAGGGGAAAGATGTAACGTCTTATCACAAAGGAAAAGGAGCACTTGTCAAAGTAAAAGGGATATCTATCAGGTTAGGATAGGGGTACTTATCAACAGTTGAAAAGAGGCATTTTTTTTTTTTTTAAAAGGGGGGCAGGGGCATATATTATAACAGGAATAGGGCACAGAATAGAAAGGGGCATCAACCAGAGGCAAAAAGGGGCACTTATCTGAAGTAAAAGGGGCACTTTGGGGAACCTAATATAAGAGGGGGGCCTCTGCCCCCCCCCCCCCTTCACCGCCTCTGCTTAACACAAAGGTCAAACCAAAAGTGATTCACATTGACTTTTCACAATTGAGAACTTCACACATTTATGTCAACCTCTTCTAACTATACATCAAAGACGAGCCCAGACAATCCTTTGTTGTAAGGTGACAAAAACATATCAGAGGGTATGCTGTGCATAATACATGTATGTCAATAGATAGGTAGACAAAATACACAGAGAGAACCAGCGCCCTGGATAAACAAGAAAAGGGATCTCCAAAATAAATTCATCATGAGGAAGGTCTAGGTATATCTCGCAACAGAGGCCAACACACTACTTCATAATGAGTTTAGGAATTTACAGATACTAGTGTTAGTAAGAAGGTGAAATAACTTATATCCTGCGGTAAACCTATCACTTAGTCTCATACCATCAAAATTTAGCCAATAACAATATCTTCCATTCCCGATTTTCACAATATTACCTTTCTCTTTTAATGTCATGCTTCAGTGTATCACACACAGTATGTTGTGTTACTTGATGATAACTATTTTGCACTTTTTCCAATATTTTAGGGCAAGGTTTGAACTCAGTTTGAGGAACAATGAATGCTTCTCCATGCCTGGCACTATTGAAACTGTAAGCCCATCCCCTCACTTCACCCTGGGTTACAACCAACTGGATGATGAACAATATTGACACATTCTTACTATTATAATGCTGAATAAAAGCAAGTGCACTCAATGCAATAGGTTGTGGACATAAGCTCTTTTGTCTGTGAGTGAGGAGTGTGAGTGTGAGCGGTGCAAATATCGCATCAGGCCAAAGTTGAAGGAAAGATTGAGCTTTTTTTTTACAGTAAACTAACAATGTGTGGAGGGAGTGGGACTTTGAAAATGAGTATGTGATATTTATGATGAAGAAAAAAAACCTTTCACATTTTTCAAAGTGAGAGAAAGGGAAATAGGGGAGGAGAGAAAGAGGGGGTAGATTGGGTAGGGTGGAGAGGGGAGAAAGAAAGAGAGTGAGGGGTCAAGAAAAAAGGTGTGAGCACACTCAATGGCTATAAATTAGCAGACAGACAAGAATAAAATAGAAAATATGATGCAAAGGGTAAGGGGTGAGAGGGAGAGAGAAGTTGGGATGGAAGATAGTGGGGTGAAAATGCAAAAGATGGGAGCACGACGGAAACAATGAGTGAGAGAGTGAGAGAGAGAGATGTTGAGAGAGAGATGTTGGAAGAGAGAAAAGATAATAAAAGCTATACTGAGAGGAAGATCTACATGTACAGTATGTGTATAGACAACTGACAAAATAATGAAAGAAAAACGACAAGTGAAGTTTAAACTGCAGACAATTTAGAAATCATGTGATTCACAAATGTTGCCTATAGATCGTGCACTAAATGCAGCTAGCATATATAGCTTCAATTGAATTCAAATGATTTGGTGTTTGAAGAATTGCTGGGAAATATTGATTTTTCTTTTCTAACCTGTGCTTTGTCATATTCTTTTCAACATCCTTTACCCCACATACATATTTACTTTTGAAAGCCTCATACTGAAACTTTGTTTACAGCTGTACAACATGCTTGTCTGACTTTTTGTACTACCTTACAGACCAATCAACAATCAAATGTACAAGAGACTGTGTACTTACCGCTTCAAATGAATCCTTTAATGTTGGACCCCCTGTTACATCAAATTCATATTTTTGCTAAGGAAAATTTGAAAATTGAGGGTAAAAATTGGTGTATACAAAGAAAATTCTGAATGTCATCTAAATGATAAAAATGTTATGAATCAAGCCAGAGTGTTTGATTTTTTTTTAATTTCTTTTTATTTGGAAATCACTACTCCACAATCACCCAGGATGCAGGGGCAGAATAAAGACAAAGAAATTCCTTGGCCGAAAGGAATTTTTGTCATTTTGGCCAAAAGGAAATTTTGTCATTTTGCGCATAATTCTGGATCATCTCAGATCAAATGGTGATATGTTTCTAACTTTTGAAGACCTTTGCCCTATTTTTGGCTCTACCTCATAGAAAAAACTGGAGTTAAAGTTCCAATCCGGAAGTACATGTAGATAGTAGGCAGACATAACACACAACTGATTGAAACACATATGGAAAAAATGTAAGTATAAAGTAAAGGATACATGAATGTAACCTGCAAAAGAAAAGAAAGAAGAAAACATTTCAATATTTACATATTTATTTATGTATATAGAAAGCAAAAATTAAGAAACAAAATGAAAGCCTCATTCAATTAAAGTTCATGAAATCTGCGAAGAGGATATTCTTATATTAATAATTACATTAATTAATAAAAACTCTTTTGTAATTTTCACATGTAAAAAGTAAATAACAATTCATCAGATTTGTTTATCAATCTATTAACCTTACAAAGAAAGGTTCACAGTATATAAAAACATTAGCTTTACGATGTGCTTTTCTAACTGGACTAATAGTGTCATTTCTTTGAAATATACATGATAGTCAGAGCTAAATCTTGAACAATTATTGTTCTCCATTCATTCAAAGGGGAATATTCACATCCAACCACATATACAGCACTAAATTCAAGATTACTTATTACCTTGACAGTTAAATAATCAATGAAAGCTAAAGTATCTTATTTGTAGGGGAAGCACAATTTTTAATATTTCTTTTCAAGCTTTCAGAAGAGGAACAGACTCAAAGTATTTATTCACTTACTGGACATCTGCTGGGTGATCCAAATCTGAAATAAAACAAAAAATATCAAAAGAATAATCGTCTTGTTTGTAAAGAAGAAAGGTAGGAGTTCTGTATTCAAAGTTAATTGACACATGTAGATTGCCTTTAAAACACTCAAGGGAAAACCTAATACTCACATAGAAATAAGATTGAAATGTCAATGGATGACATAATTTTCCTTCATGCGCAGTAACTAACAGTTTAAAATATGGCTGCAAGAATGTCAACACAGAGTTCAATTTTAACAAAGAAAATTCGTAAAAAAGATCCTCAAACGCATCATACAGTCAAGCTGGTAAGTAGCCTAAGCCTAAGCCTAATTTAGTTGAGTTAGCGAAAGTAAACTAAGATTATACAACACACGCGCACCCGCAAACACCCCTAGTATTAGTAGGATAATACACGGCGCTAGTGTAGTTCCGTATCTATTTTTTTTAGCAGTTTAAAAATCCATACTTAGCAAAGGAATTTTAGCCCAATTTTTAACTAATTTTAATCATAATCATATATTGCATTTTCCACCTGAATTTGGATCACATTCGACATCGGCAAACCTTCGTTTAAGGCTTCGATGTCGACGTCGTTGCTCAGTACCGTCTCCGACTACACTGTAGTCCTGCACCTCTAACTGAAGCGATCAGTCCTAAATTATGCAGACTTCTCGTTTGCGTGATACCATAAACCATACGAGAAGTCTGCATAATTTTGTACTGATAGCTTCAGTTTGAGGTGCAGGACAGCAGCATAGAGACGGTACTGAGCAACGACGTCGACATTGAAGCCCTAAACGAAGGTTTCCCGATGTAGGATGTGATCCAAATTCAGGTGGAAAATGCAATATATGATTATGATTAAAATTAGTCAAAAATTGGGCTAAAATTCCTTTGCTAAGAATGGATTTTTAAACTGCTAAAAAAAAATGGATACGGAACTACACTAGCGCCTAATACTCTGTAAAGAGGTCTGTACTCAAAAGGAAGAAGAAGGTCCTTACATTCGTAGTTATCGCCATCGGCTGGTTCGTTATCTTCGTATAGAGGATAGTTTCCCTTTTCATGCCCAGCATAAACGTGCAACTGCTCTTCCGTATAATCTCCAGATCCATCGCCTGCCGTAGCCGCATCACCATCCTTCGCTCCCGTACAAGCTGCGGTCGCCTCTGCATGCTCTTTCCCGGTCTCCATATCGCCGTTTTCAACCTCCTTTTTCGATGCTGTCACGACATTTTCGTCACTGACACTGTGTTCAATTACTGCTTCAACGACAACTTTGTTTTCCTCAGCCATATCTCACAGGGGAGCTAGGAGCTTATCTTACCTAAAAAGTTCTAATGGCACTAACAACGCTGAGAAGAAGTGACTGGTGGTATAATGGAATACGGGATCTATCGTATATACCCGTACGTGCCGCCGATCGAAGAATTGCAAATACATTGCGCAATGAAACTTGAAAGCTTGCCCCTCCGCCCCCCCCCCCCCCCCCCCCACCCCCAGATAGGCCAATGTTATTAATTGTTATTGTAGGATGTATTTTTTTCTCATGAAGGCCCCTCATTATACAATTAGACGCAGTAAATGATATACATGTAGGACTATATTGTAATCATTAAATTTGATAATCACAATATGACAATCAATTGAATCATTATGAATTTTGATATATTGGTATTGATATAATTAAGGTTCAAATGCATTTGAAAAATTGTAATATTTGTAATAATTAACCTGCAGAGAAATAGATGTAGGCCTAGATAGATAGAAAGATAAATAGATATTACATAGGGAGTGAATCAAGCTGCTCGAGTGCATGTAAACAAATATAGATATATTGAATTGAATAGGAAGGAAGTCCCTTCATTTATTGACCATTTAAAACAACAAAACATACAAAACATCAATACAATAGAAGAATTATATCAAATAACAACAACATACAGAAGTAATATGGTCAGGGTCCCTGAGAAGCAAGACTGCTTGTAATCGGGACCCTATATACAAGTATATATAAATATAAATTTAAATGCACACGCACGCATAACAATCACACACACACACACACACACACGACAGAATGGAGCAAAGATATAAGAGGATGGAAAAATACAAGATAAAGGTCGAGCTACGAAGAGAGATCGAGATTATTTATCGAGATTATTTAAAGAACTGAATAAATTGATATGTACATGTACATGTATGACATGATGACCAATAATGAAATATGACTACGGTAGGTATATATAATTTAATTAGCATGCAGAGTGATGGAGGGGTATAAGAAGGGGGTAATGAATACAAATATTTAAAAATGTTGTAATAATTTGTTTTTATTACTATATACATGTATTTCCATCAACCTTCAAGTTTATTATATCACTTTTTTCTACTTGAATCTATATCAATTGCTTAAAAATGCAATTTCCCTTTCTCCATTCTCATACCATGGGGTCCAAGACCCCTGCATCATGTAAGCATGATAATGATTTTTCTTTCCAGATTGTTAAAGGCTTACTAAGTAGTAGTATTTTCTTAATTGCTCTAGTTTTGAAATACTTCGTCCGAACCAACAGGCTTATTTCTTTTTTGCCTGGCCTTTTTCTTACAATATTTCCTTGTAAAGTTCCATTTTTATTATAATCCCATAATATTATACTTCTAATATTAGATCTAGATGAATTTAGTTTAATTATCAAAAAGTAGGCTTACAAGTCTATCATGTTCTTTAACTGTTTAACATAATTTCACCATAATACACAAACTATTATTTAATTTCCAATAACCTGCTTTTGTTGCAGAATTAGTAGAAGAATTCCATTGCTTAGTGGTCAATCATGAAGATAATAGGGGTCTAATAAACTGTAGGTGATCACGATACCGATCTCCCGTTTGCGAATTATCCGTATCGAATTATTTTTAAGGATAACTAGACGCAATTAACTGAGCTTTTAATTGAAGATTGTTACACTTTGTAAGTCTAATAAAGTAGGCTTTCATCTGCAGAACTATGGCGGGTCCGCAAAAGGTGCAAAATTACCTGGACAGGCACCGGATTAGTGCCCTTTTTGAGGTAAAGCCTTTAGTTTTGCGATCCCGTCTTTAAGAACGGTCCCGCCTATTAATATTGGTGTGTGTGTTTTGTTGTTGCTGTTGCTGTTGAATGTTGTATCTGTTGACTTGTTGTGTTGATTTTTATTTTTGCTGCTGTGTAACTGTAAGTAGGGAGGCCAATACCAAAAGCTGACATCTTAATTACGCATTTATCAATGTTAGAAGTAGACCGAATTTTCCGTCTCTTTCGTTCGTTAGCCTTAATGGGGTAGGGTCGGCTCTCTCTTTAGACTTAGATCTAGGTCTAGTCTAGAGACGGAAGCCGACTAGTCTAGATCTATACGCATTCCCTTGCTAACACCATGGCCATTTATGGCCATATTTTTATGCCCCGTAAATCCCCCCAAATGTCATTTTACCTCGTGCATGTTATATTGTAAATTAGGCCTAGACTCTAGGCTATAATAAATCGGTTACACTTACCAACTTGAATGAAATAATCAGTTTAATGGTCCCTAAAAATCTTGCAAGACGTATTTTAACATGGATTTCGATTTTGACCCATAATTTCCTAAAAAGGGACCATTAAACTGATTATTTCAGTCAAGTTGGTAAGTGGAACCGATTTATTATAGCCTAGATCTAGGCCTAATTTACAATATAACATGCACGAGGTAAAATGACATTTGGGGGGATTTTCGGGGCATAAAAATATGGCAATAAATGGCCATGGTGTTAGCAAGGGAATGCGTATAGTCGGCTACCGTCTCTAAAGAGAGAGCTGACCCTACCCCAATAAGAGGCTAACGAAAAATGAGACGGAAAATTCGGTCTATGTTAGAACTAGTTTTAAAAGAAAGCAATTATCTTAAATGTTCATTTGAATTAACAAAGACAACTCACCCATCTGCCAACTCCAGGCAGGAGATAGGCCTAGCCTAGCTTGGTCTAGCTCCAAGTCCAAAGTTGGGGTTTCCTTCTACGCCAATCCGACCGTAAGAGCCTTGAAACACTTAAATATCATGGTCAATAATTTACGTTCAGAATTGGACTGGCAAGAGGGAATGGGCGTGTCATTGCCGGGACAAAGTCCAAAAGGACGTTTAAATTCTGCGCGAATGTACAGTCGCTAGTCTTAAATCGATCGCACACACTGACACAGTATTTTTAATAGGGATGTCAGACAAGCCGCGCTGCAATCCTGAAATAGAGCCATCAATGTGTGTACGAGCCAAGGGTGATTTTAGTTGAAATAAAAACATGCAATTTTTCAATTTATTGAAAATCAAAATTGGCAGGAAAGAACTAAATCTAATTGATTAGTAATTACCGTAGATTAGATTTGTATTCCAATATTCAAATAACTTTATATCCTAATGAGTAATGATATTTAGTCTGCTGTTCAATTGATTAAAACAAGATCCTATATTTGTCTTGCAGCGCTCAAAACTCCGGAATCTATATCTGTATACGTACATACAATGTACGTATCTATCTCTTTCTCTCTCTATACGTAACACATAACCTTTACCTTTACCCAAGATTCCATCCCATTTCTCAATTGGAGTATAGACTGTTATCCACTCATTTTTACTGAAATATTTTTTTAAACATTTCTCATATATGATTTAGTGCATGAGCTCAACACCGTGTCTAGTGCTGTGAGAATAAGGGACAAGCTAGGTGTGAGACTACGCTACACATGTCGGGTCCCGTGATCTCGTCGCAGCTCATACATATTCATATTTTGATGTCGCAAATAGACATTTTTTCATCTATTCTTGGCTTGAAAATGATGCACATTGAGGTTGTTCTGAATGGTTTACTTTGCATTATTAGATAACTGTTGACTACCATCACTGTATGTCAGATTTCTGTTGATGAGAAAATGTCTGGTCGCCATGGTCGGGTACCCAGTCCCTGCCTGAAAATTTAAATATGACTCGAGCCTTCTCATGATATGATCGTTCATTGCATACATGTACAGGTGTACATGTAAATTAGGATCATGCAGCATGTTATCTGTTTTATGCACACTATGCACTCAGCTTGTGAGCGAAGGGTACAGAAATAAGAGAAAAGATCCAACAAAAATTGAATGAATTTCAGAAAAACACTTGTTTTAATGGTGAAGATTCAGCAATATTATTAGAGATGTAACAGTTTTCAGAATAATGCCCTTGGTATTACCACTCAATGTATACTTAAGGTAATTTTTTGAAACGTGTTAAAAATTTAACACTCAATGATTTATTTCTTCACTACAGGACCTAATGGCAAGACTGATAAAAAACACCCCTCAGGAACCAGTCCCATATCTTATCAAGATTCTACAAAAGTTTGACGAAAAATCCAAGAAACCAGTATGTTAAAATACTTTCTTCTTTTTAAAGCTAATAGCTAGTCAGAAAACTAAACTGTGAAAATCCCATTCACTGTAATCTTCATGTAGATGAAGAGACAGGACTCTTAGCCTCATATTGTACTAAAAATATAAAGCTAAAATAAATGCTAGGCCTAAGCTTTTTTTCGAATTCTGTTTTGACCAAAATTAGTCTGATGTCTTAGTTTTCCTTTGTGATCTTAGACCCAGGTTATTGATATGTACATTGTTTGCCTTTAAATGTAAATTATTTACCAAGAGGAAATGATGTTTGTGAATTGTGAAAAGGAGTAAATTACTTCTGTTTAAAACCGGGATGCCAATTTTCAGGCCCTGGCGAGTTATTTTCAGGCCATAGTTTAGGCTTTTTTGTGTACAAAATAGCTCATTCTATGTAATTTTCAGGCTCTCTGACCAATTCTAACTGGCATCCCTGTTAAAAGTATTAGTGCTTCTCTGAAGAGAGAATGTGCATGTTTCATGCTCTCTATTCCAAACATGGCACTTCACTTTATTCAAAGTTCCAGGAAAATCCTCTGGCCCCAAAGACGAAACCTCTGACCCCTGGACTCTCCAAGACACAAAGGATTCAATCCAAGAACCCTTTGACAAAGAGCACCTCCTCACTGAGAAAGGACCCACTGTCCAAGAGCACTGGGCAACTAAGCAGATCCACCTCCAACTTAGCCAAAGAGCCATCAGGAGCTAAAGGGGGAAGCCCCTCATCACCCGGATACGCTTGGCAACCCGGTAGTAAGTAGGATATTTAAACAATGGATGTTCAGTTCATTTAACATTTTAAGAAATTAGGCTAGTTGTAGAATTCCAGAGCTTTGGTTGAATATAAATATTTGGGTTACAAGCTGGCTAAACAATGCTAAACATTTATTTAGGGAGCCAAATTCAACATTTAGTGATTTTCATTTTTAATATTGTAGAAAAAAAATTAACACAGAAAATCAATATTATTTTACTCTCAGTGTTTTGTACAATCCACCTTGACCTCAGATGCATGATGTTTCAGGTGCTTGATTTGAATTAAGATGGTCACAAACACCTAGACTAGTGGAAATGTTTAGCCCCAGAGTGTCTTGTATTCCTAAAATAAAACAATATTTGATTTGGGTTTCCTATTTTGAAAATCAGGCCTGCATTTGTAACATATTGTACCACTGACGAGTGAAGACCACAGAAAACTTGTTTATTGTAAAATGAAGAAAAAAAAGTAGTTGAAAGTTAGGCAATTGGGTAGATGTAGTGGAGAGGTACTAACTGATTTATTTTCCAAGCAATTAGTGCTGCTTGATGTTGATAATGCAAATCATCAGAATCTTTGCTTACCAGAGCTGCGTGGTTTATTTTGTAAAAATTGAGAAAATCAAGTAGGGACAAAAACAAATAAAATGGATATTACTCGCCCATATAGTTCAGGCAAGACATACATAATGTAAATCTGCTGAAGAGTATAATGTACTTTGTTTGCATTTTTTTAATACATACAAGTTAAAAAGGATGTCCACAGAGAAATTAACTTGTAGCTTTTGTGTCGATAACTAACACTGAAACAAAGTTTAATTCCTGTCATTGCTTGCACATGTGTTTAACCAATTCTTTTAGCTGCTCCCCGTGGAGCGGATAGAGGCCATCAAAGACCATTGCCCTCAAATGCAATGAAGGACAAGCGTAAGTCTGCAGCAATAACTGAACTGTAGAGCAGTGGTATACTAGATTGACAAAACTGCTTTAAAAAGCAGATATAGTCTGCTATGCCACTGTTGCACAGCAGGTGCATGTTGTGTGGACTGTTTATTACATTCTGTTTGCTGTGTTTTCTCTGCATATACTTGCTTTGATAAAAAGACAGATTCTTATCCACTTCAATGTAGTCAGCTTATTTTTTCCAATATTATACTTTCTTTCACTCAATATTATATTTTCTTTCACCAACTAACAAGTTTCTGCTTCTGCAATCTAGTCATTGTAGTATCTTTTTGCCAGAATTTGTTTAATACAGTATAAACTCTAATTGGATTTGATATTTGTACCTATTTTTATTGAGTGATATAGAGGTGTCAATTGACAGCAACTATTTAGCCAGTGCTGCAGTCTTGATTTTGTTGGTGGTGCATTTAATGTATTTTTGCTGTTTGATACCTGAAAATGAGGTACTAAATAAGAGATAAGAGGATATGGGATTATTTCTCTGGAATACTTTTCTTTAAATGTGTGTGTTGTGGAGCTATGGGTATTCAAATGGTATTCATTCTTACTCTTCTTTTGCATGCCTATACTATAATTATATCACTATCAGCCTATCAATGTAGTTTTATTATATATTTATATATTATATATCCATTTCCCTACATCCAATTTCCTGCTGAAGGCCTGAGGGTGTCAATGATATATTTATATTATATTGACTGGGCTTGAGGGGTATATCATAAATGTTGACCAAGCTAAGATCATATTCCCCCGAGTCGAAGACGAGGGCAATATGGTTGGTCATACCGCGGTCAATATTTGGTTAATTGTGATTGCCTGAAACTGATAATACACAAATTCATTAAATGATTAAGTACATGTAGTATTTATTTATTTTTTCATCAAAAGAAATTAATTTATTATGCAGGATGGCCAACACAGTGAATTTAGTTCAAGGACCAACATGTATATTATATATGTATGTATGCACTTTGCCTTTCTAAATAGTCTTTTTACACAAAACGTTTGTCCTGTAATGGCATCAACAAATGTAACCTATTTAGATATTTTCAAGACACAATTACCTTTTGCAAATATAGCTCTTTTCTAGCTAATACAATTTATTATGCATGCAATTTATTCATTGAACATTTCTTCTTTCTCCTTGACACATTCATACATGTACAGTTTAATCACTCCTGAGCATTTCTAATAGTGTGTGTCAAATGTTATAACATTCGTTTGGTAATAGAATGGTTATCCTTCCTCTGTTTCTCTCACTCTTGTTCTACATGATATATACTATTGTCCACTTCCATTTTTATTGCTTTGGCTCCGAAATTTTCAGAGTTGTAACAAGTAAAGGTCCAGACAAATCTGTACCATTTAATCATTTTAACTTCACTGGATATCAAGGAAAAAACTTTGTCAAGTCAAGATTTATGGTCAATATACTAATTTGATAATCGGTATGGCTCATATAAATTGCTTTTGTCAAGAATTGTTTAAAGTTTATTGTACTTTTGTTGTTTTAATATACACAAATTCAGGCATAAAAGATGGTGGAAATAAATTCAAATCAATAATGACTTACCATAAAGGCTTTTTTTCAAAGCTTATGCTACAACAACAACAGATTTAAAAAAAGAAGAGGCAATCATTTATGATTTTGTCTTGCTATCAAATATATTGCGGGCACTATATAAATCTGTGTGAATGTGTTTACATTTTTTGTTTATGATTTACAAGCTTTTTTAATCATGACTTTGTTATATATATATATATATATATACAGTAAAACTCATTGGCCATATGCCCAATTTAAGATTATTTGCACTAAATATTCAGAAATATAATAATCCCATGATAATATAATAGAAGATAAAAACTTTTCATTGTCCTGGCATTGAATGATCTTTGTGTTTTCCTTCATAACAATAGAGAATGCCATATAATGGACCAGTTTACTAACATATTCAAATGTATGGATGTTTCTTTCCTGGTGACCTAGTGATGACTTATCCATTAACCTTTTATAATGAATGAACTACAATACTTTAGAATCCATTCTGCATACATTACATGTTGCTATGTTGGGCAAGTCTCAGCAAAGCTTTTGGGTTGTCAAGAACAACCTTTATTTAAACAGTTGCAAAAAATTTGAATGTTTAAAATGGTCTATTGGTACATTTTATCCTTGACCTGAAGATTCTCCTCCCCAATAGTACATGTACAGTATAGCAAAATACAAACCCAAGTCACCAACGCATTAAATAATAAAAAGAGAATTGCTTATTGTTTATCCTTGCAAAAGTGTGACACCTTCATTCTTATATCCCTTTGTCACTGATGACTCGTCTCTTCCACACTTTAGATGCTACAGGTAAATTTGGCGTGGATAGGGGTTATGAGCGACCCTGGATAGCGAACATGAGGAAGATCAAGTATGAACAGGCTCAGTTGAAAGGTTAGTCACTTCATATGTTCCCTTGTCAAATCACAAGATAGGATGCTGCTCATTTCACATTGTGGTATAAATGTAATTTTGTCATGTGGGGCAAGACAATGACAGCTTGCTGGTTATCATACCTGTCTGTTGTTTAATAATAGACCGGTTCATGGTTAGCACATGTCCCAATTGACCCCTAATATCCACAGATTTTCAAAACATGAAGAGGTCCCACATTGTACATTTTGAAATAATCCCTCCTGCAGCGATGGAGGTGCTACATAAATAGCCTTTGTTTCCCCTTTTTAAAGAATACTTCCACCTGTGTATCATGGAGTGCACTGCTTGTGCATAAATGAATAATGATTAAATAACTTTCATGAGCATGTTTCCAGTATTTTGTCTCCGTGTATTTCACAATTTGGTCTGCAATGACCTTTACCTGCTCATGCTCTGACTGCAACCGTGAACTGGCTTATAAGGGAGAGATGTTCAAAATTTCCAATATTTACATGTCATGTGCATCAAATTGTGTTCCATGCTTTGTACTGATGTCCTCCCACACTCATCAATTGTTAAAATACATGTAGACCCTTCTCCACAAAACCTTCAGAAATATTTCATGTTTGTGTACACAGTTGTATTAAGAAAACACTTAATTAATTTCTGTTAAATCCTTGGATATAATTCAAAGCCTTCTTCCCTAATATCCTTCTACCAAATGATTTCAACAAATTTCATAAAGTCTTCAAAAACTTAATAAAGACTAACATCTATTGTACCATTGTAACATATATGTGTTAGTTTCAACTCTTTTTTAGTATTTACTACAATATTTCCCCTTTCTGCCACTAGGTAGATTGAATACTATAACTCATTGAAAACCCATTTGCTTTAAAGGCCCACTGCACTACTTGTAGCTACTTGCGCCCTCTATATAACAACCAATGCCTAATCGGTGACCATTGGTCCCCCGTGATCCTCTTTTTCTTATGTTAACTGAGAGCTGAGTTGATGAGATAACCACCTGTCCAGTGACCTTGCAGAGCGCTCTAATCCCTCCTGTAAACTATGGCAGATAAGCTTTAAAAGAGAAGAAAACGTTGCATTTCCACCCCTTTGCATCTGCAGACATCTTTGCATGCTTCAAAACCATTGTATGAAATCATGCACTTCACATACAACAAACTTTATTTTGTTATAGCCATTCGTGTCTGTATTCAGAAAGAAAGTATTAAAGAATAGACTAATATTCCAAATTTTTACATCTGCTTTTTGGTTTTCAGCCCAAAAGACTCCCTCCCCCTTCTTATTTTTATGCCTCCGCCCACAGTTTTCAGGTTGTCGTGTCTGTACGTCCACTTTCTCCCGCTTTCCTGTTAATGCAATATCTCAAGAACCACCTGAGATATGGATTTCAAACTTGATGATAGTATGTAGCACCTTAGGAAGACAATCTGAGTAGATTTTGGAGCATCTAGGTCAAAGGTCACAGTAGTCAACTTATGACATTCCAGGTATAAGCCTTGTTATTGCAAAATCTCTAAAACCACTAGAGATATGAGGCTCAAAATTGGTGATGATATGTATTACCATAAGAAGATAATCCAATCAGATTTTGGGTTCAAAGGTCACAGAGGTTAATTTTTGAAATTACAGGTTTTAGCCTTGCTTATGCGATTTCTCAAAAACCACAAGAGATGGGCTTTTTGTTTTCATTGTGGTATGTCACAAATGATTTCATCCATTTCCAACACTGAATTTAAGGGGAAGGCATATAGGAGACGCTGTCACATTTATCTTCTTTTTTTTTTTAAACCCACGATTAATATACATTGATTATAACAGTTCATCAAACATTCATATACTTTAAGTGTGCATGCTATTGCTAGCACTTGTAAACCAACGAGTGAAGCATGGAATCATGAGCATGTTTTAATTGAATATCTGAATGAATCCATGTAAGTGTTTTACCAGTAGTGATGAATAATTCATGATGCAGTCATTAATGTTATGATATGGTATGCTGTTTTGAATTAACATTGTGTCAACCCCCCCCCCCCCCCACCCCTCCTCTTCACTGAACAAATCAATACATTTGTCAAGCATTTTTAGAAACCTGTTTCCCTTTTCATGTCAATTTTAGAAAGACATAACTTCATTCAGGTTCATGTTTAAGTACAGAAATGAGAGGAATATAGGTCTTCAAATGTGCCAAGAATGCAATAAAAAGATATTTGTTTTTGAACTATTTTGTCCTTAATCCCAGTGATCACAAGAAGCATGTCTGTTAAAAAGTTTAATAACAGGATGGAACAGATGGTTGATTTTGAGAATGTATTGTATGATTTTTGCATCTAACTAAATAATTTATTTGTTTTTCCTTTATTTATTTTATCTCCCCAATGCGTGTTTGAATGTTGTGATTATTATTGTTTTACACCTGATTCTAACCTTATGTGCCTGATTGTGATTTGATTTGCACCTTTTTTCATTATTGTCACTACTATCTATTATTGCATGATTACAGTTGACAATTGGTGTTGGATATTTTACATAAACAACATTCCTTTTTTTAGGGGAAGAGGGTCCATATTACTTTATTTTACTCAAAAAGAATAACCACTCTGACTTTGTGTTTAGAGATTTCCATGTACAGGTATCAACATCCTGTATTTAACACTTTTGACTCCAAATTGGTGAAACAAATCGACCTGCCTTCCTCCCAATAGCAACCAGAATGAAATAAATGGATAAGCAAAAAAGACATTTTGTTTGAAAAACAGAGCAAAAAATACAAGGACTATTTTAGATCATGCCTTTAAATTTAAAATGGAAATGAATTTAAAGACCCTATACAAATTTGAAGAATAGAAAAAGGGGATGATTGAAAGTCAACTGAGTACTTCTAACTATCTTCTTAGTTCGCTAATTCAGAGTTGATCATATCTTAGTTGTGTTTTTGTTACAAATTTATTTAATCCTTATTAACTGTGTGCTTTGAGTGGATAACTACTGTTTTAGTGTTAATTCTACTTAAATGTGTAGATTTATTGAATGGTACACATCTGTAAACCTTTGCTGTTCTTTACTTTTGTTGAACTTTTGTTCAACAGCCTAAAATGCTAGAAGAGACATCTCTGAGAAAGTTTGCTGTGAAAGTGCACTTAATTTTTGTTTTATTCAAAATATTGTACATGTATCTATACAAAGTGTTGGTGTTCACTTTTTCCTTAGAGAATATACATGTGTACTTGGTAGTGATAGCTGTAGTAGTGGTGGTGGTTTTCTAACCAGGTGTACACTATTATAAGCTTCTTGCAGTGAAATTTGTAGAGTAGTAGAATATGCATGTTGTCCTTTTTCTTTCTTCTGTGCTGTTTAAGTGAAATGCAGTTTTTAGTTTTGGTTTTTGTCATGGATATGAGGAGAATTACATGTCGTCGATGATCATCTGAACCGTTGTATCGAAAACATGATATCGAGAAAAACGCATTCATCTCCAATTATTCACTGTATGCTCTGTCTCTCCAAATTTCAATAAACTTTTTTCTTCACTAAATTCGTCAACTTAAACGCATACTGGGACTTTTACCTTTTTGTTGTGCTACTAATAATGAAATTTCAAATATCATTTAACTTCACTGTGAATTTTCTCATGATTGCTGTTTTGTGTCATTGTGCTAGCTTGCTTATCTATGTTGGTTTGCTCTGTGATACAATTGTGTCTATTTATTTCTGCATGAATTTTTCTTGATATTTCATTCCACCCCACCACTAACACCACTAGCACTACTACCAATACTTACAACACCGAAACTATCATCAAAACGTCCGTCACCACCGCTATCAAGTTTAATACCTACTACAGCCACATGCAACATGTCCACCACTAAAGCCCAACAAGCAAAACCATCGCCACAACTTCTATCACCATCCTACTAAACCCAGCACAACTAAAGAAATGAATAATATTACTTTGATTGAAGTCAGCTATGGTACTTCTTCTTCTATCACAAAGACTCTCAATATCATCCAATTTTGAACCTCATTGCATCCAGGATCCTGTCTTGAAAAGAGTTGTGTTTGATCTGTATTGACTGCTTTGCAAGTCCTCAAATTAATCACAAACTTTCAGACCCCTACATGTATCTCTTTGATATAGTAGCAACTATTAGTTTGCTTGAAGTCAGCTACCATACTTCTTATAACGCCAAGACTCTCAATATCATCTAAATTTAAGACAAGGCCCAAAAACTGGATAGAATAAATTTGGCAAAATACAATTTGCATCTCAAATTAAAGCTAGTTTCAATATTTTTATAAAATTTGGGTGGAAGAGATATCTGTAGATAGATCTACCCCTTGGACTTTCCACCTCCAGACATGTACTTCCAAAGAACAGTTATCCTGTAGGACAATACAGTGGATTGACAATTTACAATACCCCCCCCCCTCCTTCTCCTCCCCATAAGATAGAAGATAGAAATATACTGATCATGTAAATCTTTTACCCTGGGTAAGCTATTTAAACCCTCCGCACCAACAATTCTGATTAAATCCATAAATCTCCTTGGGTATATAATAAGGCCACAGCTGGTATTTTGCCCAATTTTCTCCTCAATGCTTCAAATCAACTAAACACTAGTTAGTGTCTCTAGATGGCGCTGTAGATTGTATACCCACCGTATAAACCGTGGACCACTACAATGTTGTACACCCTTGGACAACTAGCAAACTCTGTAGTTGAATTACACGGTCTGCTTGAGAATTGTCAACAAGTCTTTTGTAACATGTAGCTTGTGCATGATTCAGTCACATGTTAAAAACTTTCAATAATGTGAAATAGTATTTTATAATAGTTTAAAATGACTCATAATTATTTCCATTAATGCACTTTGGAATTCCAACCTTGACATTGCTCAGCCCGAAAGTTACATAAGAGTTCAAGTACAGCAGATGATGCCGAAGGCTCCATCAAGTCAACTCTTTCAAGCGAGGCAGACAGCATGGATGTAGACCAAATCTTTGAGATGTCACAGGAGAAACCTCCTGTAAGACCTAAAACACTGTTCAGCAACCCAGGTACTGGTCCTTCCATGTCGAGTCTTAATCTTTCTTTTAGACTTGCTAGGGTAGAATTTTTTTATTTGTAGGAAAAAGCATGAACCTGTTTAGATACTCAACAGAGTTCAACTAAATATCTTCTTCAACCCAGATAGCAAGTCCCTCCAAGTCAGGTCTTGCCACTGAACTTAAACTTGGTTTTAGAGTTGGTTATAGGGTTAAGTGCTAGAAATGGCGGGACAACCAATTACAAATTTATCTGATTTCGCTGAAGTGTACGTTGTAGAAACAAAGTTTTCAATCTCTTGTAAGACTTCACCTGCTGTTTTCAGCAGCACAGGTATTGACTTAGACTTGGTCTTAGATTTGGCCCTAAGTTTAGTATTAGGTTTGGAGTTAGGGTAACAGGCTAGAAATAATATAGATACCGGTGGGTCCAAATTTAGACTAAATCTGAGTACATTTTCAGGTTCAGCATATTGATATGACCTGTAAAACTGCAGTTGGATTTGTGTGCCTTTCCATATAAAGTGAAAGGCCACAGTACTGATGTGAAATCATTGACAACGATCAGTTTGACATTACTGTAATGTGGAGCTGATTAGGCATTTCAAGATTGCAATATTTTTGTGAAAACGGCTATCAATTACAGGTAGCTGCACCAGTATTCCCAGAAATAGAACCCAAAAGAGAAGAACATGAAAATGAATGAACATTAAATCACCTTTCTATGAACTATGATAGAAAAGACTGAATCGTGATTTCACATTTTGACTGAAACCAATGAAGTAAGCACTGTCATACTTGTGAACCCAGTTGGCCTTACTTTTTTTTAATCCAAGCTTTCTTAAGGTGGAAAGTTACATTACATCCTCATGGTTTACGCAGATATATTGCTTTTTACCATATTTCTCATTGTGCAAATTGATGTTGCTAAAATGGTGAAAGACTTGTAATGCATATTTGTTGTGTTTTACTGTAATATTGTGGTGGGAAAGTAGATAGATTTGGAAGTTGATTGTGACATCTTTTGGTGAATATTCTTGTAGTCTATTTCTTTTCCATTTACTCCTCAACCTTTCTCTTTTCTATACATGTTCCACATCAATGAGTGCACACATTTCATTCATACATGAGTATCCATATAAACAAGGAATTTTTTTTTGGTTTCTCATGGTACTTCACTGGTATTGATTAAAGTATTTAATATTCTCAGCGGGTATTCTTAACAGGGAATTGTCTTATCATAAAAAACCTCAATATGAAATAATACTAACATGTTTTCAAATTGTCCTTTCCATGTGGTATTCATATCTCACATTTTGGCCAATCCAGTGCACAATTTTCAATTGTACTAGTCAGACTTTAAAATTTCTATGTCAGAAATGTTAAAGAACTAACATATCTTTAATACATGGTACACACTTTACATTTAATTCTTTTTATTTGTATTTGCCAAAGGGTGCAGAAAAAAGGTACAAAATATCCACAAATATTATATTGAGGTGATGAAACTTTTGATAGATATGTTATCTCTCCCATATTTCATTTGAAGAAATGTTGGTGTTCAATGTTATCATGAGGAAGTACATTTATTTCCAGCATAGTTTTTAAGATACTAATTTCATTATAATTAGCTTCATGACCAGTGAATTAATGCCTCCATCTTCTTTCCTTCTAGCTTCACAGGCATGGGTAGACATGGTAAGTGTTTGTAGGCTAAATTTGAAAATTGAAAAATCTCACTCCAAACATTCCATTTTGATAAGAAAATGTGTCAAGCTCCATAGATAAAGTTCATAGAAATTGTGTTTTTCAAAAGAAAAAACAATGCTGTAACATGTTTATTTTGACCATGTACATGCAATTATGATAACAATATTCAGTAGGTTCAGTAGGTAAATACATAATATATTTTTGCATCAAATTCAAATTTGTGGATAGTATTTTCCCAATGGTTATCGATTAACAAAATCAGCATTGCATGTCCACTGGTTATTTGTTTCCACAAGTTTATATGCACAACCCGTTAGCGTTCAATCATTGTTAAATGTGGTGATTGGTTTGTCCTGTGGAATTCATGACCATCCCTGTCATCCCAAGCACTACCAGCTACCTCATCAGGTGAAAGAGCACTTTATTTAAAGGGGGTGTAGCATGACGAGACAAGGTGTCTTTCCCATGGCCTGACTCGGGGCGAATCAGGTATAATACGACTACGGACGACGCGACCGCAGTATTCATGTGCGTGCAGCATATATGCGAAACAAAAGCTTGAGGAGAACTTTGATCTGTTTCGTGAACGCTAGTCCATTCATTTACGTGCAGTTGTCAAAAGAAGTCGTAGATGACGTTAGCCAGTATTTGCCATGCTACACCCCCTTTAACCCATTGCCTACTGGAACGAAATGTAATCTGATATTGATGTTGAATGTTTATTTCTCTGCCCTGTATGGCTGTAGGACCCGCAGCCGTATCAGCCCCCTCCTCCCAAGCCCTATCAACCCCCTGACCAGGTGGAAGAGGCTTTTCTAAAGGAGGAACTTTCAGCTGATAAACTCATGAAACAATATGAGAAGGAATCCTCCAAGAACGACTCTGCAGCATCAGACAAGCAGAAAGTGTAAGCAACAAAACAAATAGAAAAGGAAAGCCATCAATAAGGACCCCTATAATGTTCCCAAGTTAACAACAACAAAATGTCATTAGAATTTTTTTTATTTTGGTTGCTTTTGTCACAGTATGAATTGAGATGTAGAGTCAGGATTCTCAGTTATACTGGAAATAAGGGAAAACCTGGAAAGTGAGATCCCCTTTTTCGTAGTCAGGAATAATTCATTCATGAATTTGCGTTTGCTCATGAAGCAACTAGTCAGTATCTTGTAGTTTGTCTCATGTCCAAACAGTGTATCCGCGGATGTAGAACTTTCCATACTTCTATAGGTTTAAATAGTCATTGTGGAATTTTGAAACTCCAGTAGAGAAACTTGAGAGAAAATTAGGGACTTTTTCTTCTTCTAATGTTAGAACTTTGATAGTAGTATCAGTAAAAAGCAGATTGGATGGTTCAATATCAATTTGTAGGACCTACGTCTTCTCTGTTTGTTCATATTGATGGCATTTTATGATGTATTTGGAATCTGTTTCTTATTGTGACAGTTCATTTCCTCCTTCTCTTTGAGTTTTCTTTAAATAACTGGCATTAACAGTGCATGTGCAACTCTTTGGGCTGACATACCTAAATAAACCTGACTCCACTCTCTGCCATCTAAGTTTTAACCATGTTCAATCTAGGATGTGGTACTCAAGAGATGAATATCACTGTTCTCCACATTGTATTGGTTGAACAGAGAGCAGAGAAGGGCTAAGCCTGATCAGAAAGCCAAGAAACATAAGGAAGAGTTGGCAGCCCTGGTAGAGGCCCAGCGGAAGGTGGAGACCCTAGGGTACCTTGATAGCGGAGGAGAGACAGGAGATCCAGACCAAGGGGGATATGAAGAAGCTACAGATGTGCTGGGTAAGAATGGACACGGTTGCCATAGTGATTAGGAAGATGGCATAATAATGATTATGATGGTGGTGGTGATGATTTATATGAACAGATAGGTTGTTACATCCACCAGCAATTGATAAAATCTTACAAGCAAACAATGATGGAGACAAATAAACAATTGTGTAGTGAACAAAGAAGGAATTTTCAGATGATGTTAATGATGATTGTTATCATTATTTTGATTTTTTTTTTTTATTTGATTTTATTTCTGCATTTTTCCAAATACAATATAACTGAATAACAAAGAACATATAAATGTAAGGTATAATACAACATATACAAACAATAATTTCTTCATGTCAAAATGTTTTTTTACATAATATACGTACATATAATAACGAAACTTAATATTTCCATAACATATTATCATAAATTTAAAGTATTATCCGAACTATAATGTTGGAAAAGTGCAGGAGACCGCAATCATAAGCAAAGCTTGACAAGGATGGCGGCCTCAAATTTGATAGGATGGTTATTATGGTGATGGCTTTTATTCATAATGGTGATGATGATGACGACGAATATAGTGATGATGATGTTTGACGATGGTGTCGATAGAATATTAGTGATGATGGAGACGATGGTAATGGCAGCAGTGGTTTTTAAAAGTCAATTCTGATTATATTTTACCCAAATCAGAAAGAATAATATTACAAAAGAGCTGTAAGAAGGTTAAGAGAGCTTGGGAGGGGTTTTCAGCAAAAGCAAGAGTCCTGGATGTAAATGGTTTCGTGAGAGAGAGAGAGAGAAGAGAGTGCAAAAAAAAGTTGTAATATAAGGGTATTCCATTTTTCATCATGATTGACTTTCTTTAACTTTTTTTTATACATTATACAGAAGATGCAAGTGACCTGATGGATGAAGGGGTTGCTAATGTCAAGAGCACTGGTAAAAAGGTTGGTGCACTCTCTATTATTTTGTAAAAATAAATATCTTGTTTATTTGTTCTTACAGTAATCAGCGTAAACAAAACACATGTTTTGAGTTGCATCTGGTTTTCAATTAGATGGAAAATGAGAACATGACAGTGTCCTTCTTTCATCAATAAAAGAATGAATGAAACTACATAAATAAATTAAATGGATAAATAAATAGATAATGAATGAATAAAGGTGACAAAGTGCAAACAAACAAATGAATGAATAAATAAGTAATTAAAAACCTCCCCATAGAGATCTAAATACAACATGTCATTACTTGTTATTTTATGATTTTTAACCTAGTTCCATTATGTTAGAAAATATAGAGCTGGAAAGGTTAGTTTAATGACATACCGGTACATGTAAGTGTGTATTGCATTTTTAATATTTGTAATATTCAGAGACTAGTAATTGTTATGACTTTTTACCATATGTTGATACAGAAGTGCATTTCATAAACTCTAATAACTATAATATCTCTAAGTGCACTCACAAACATTGTTACTTTTTCCTGAAAGAATTTAAAGTGTTTATACGTTTGACTCACACTTGAGAGAAGGGGAGGGGGGCAGTACGTCCTTGAAAGTTTTTAAGAAAAAACACATGTTTTTAGCAAGAGATGAAGCTATTGCTCATGTTCCAATGCATACCAGTAATTCTTTATGTAGTGTAGTGTAGTGTTAATAACCCTAAAATCATAGATGCCACCATTCAAGTTACTTCCATACTATTGTCACCACCCTCATCATCTTGCTCATGTTATCTTCTGGTCTCATTCTTCAACACACATTTTCAAAAGTTAATGTATCATTTATTGTTTGAATTATTATTTGTTTGTAAATATTCAGGTCCGCCGTAGACCACCCCCTGCTCCTCAAGTAAAAGTTGGTGTTTGCAGTCGGTGTGCAAAGTAAGTTCCTCCCCCCCCCCCCCCCCATCCAATATAGTAGTACCAAGATGATTATATGAACTCAGTATAGTACATGCTTCAATAGTATATAGAAATTGACAGACTAAATTTTCAAGATTCTTGGTGCCAATTCCAGTGTTTAGGAAGAAGTGGGCCCCGTTTCACAAAAGTTGTTATGAATAACAAATGCTTAATTTCTGTCACAAATTTGCTCTCAGCCAATCAAATGCCACGATTTCAGTAGCTTATAACAGTAATTGTAATTTGTTATTGATAACAAGTTTTATGAAACAGCATCGTGATGTGAAAAATAGTATTCATCATACATCAGCAAAGTACCAAGGAAAATATTTCAGTCTTTAGGAAGAAATGATATGAAGATCATTACTGTTACATAGAGTTGCCAATTAAAGATTCTTTTGTGTTAGAAGTAGTCACTAGTCGGAAGAAATGATAGGGAATATATGAACTATTATTATTATTATTTACTCGGCAAAACAAAGTGTATACAGAGGATTACATAGAAGAACAGATCATACAAAACAAAGGATGAAAATCATTAATAATTATTTTAAAAACATTATCGTGATTCCCATGAGCATTTACAAGTTGCCAGGAATGGGGCAGGTGAACTAAATCACTGAAACCGTGAAGGTCCCCCATTCCGACATGCAGTACTCATGGGAGATCACTACATAAATACATTGCAACAACTAACAAGAGTATAGCAACACTTAATATGGCAATAATAAAAGAACAAAATCAAATTTTTGAATTAATCAATAAAGTACAAATTATTTCATATGTTTTTTAAAGAAAATTATAAAGAGCCATGCAATCAAAGCAAAAAAAATAATCATGAACTACTACATGTACATGAATACTCAAGAATGTGAAATTTGGACCAGAGCCCTGTTGCATAAAGTTGCATTGATGGTTACTCTGCTATTAATGGTAACTTCCATGGAAACCTTGATTTGTTTGGCTGTTGAGTAATGTTGCCATGGTAGTAAATATTGATGATAAGGTTACCATCAGTGGGACGTGTTATGCAACAGGGCCTAGGAACAGCTACAAATAGCCTGATCTTCTTAAAGGGAAAGTCCACCCCCAAAATAAGTTTGTTTCGATAGAGGCAGAATAATAAGAAAATCAGGTGAGTGAAAGTTTGAGCAAATTCTGAATGAAAATAAGAAAGTTATGAATTATTGATGTTGTGATCAATCAAATACAAATTGGCAACTCTGTGACTTATCATACAAGCTCTCCTTCATTTGCTTTGTGCATAATATTCCATAAATCATGTTTTCTTCGTTATTGATGACGGAATATATATTTGTTCCTTGCAGGGGGAGTATAGAAACATATTTGCAATTATTATATTTAGGGTGCATGTATGGTTGAAATTTTTCTTGAGGGAAAATGAAAATTTTAGATTTTTTTAGTACTGAGCAAATGGAAGTTGAGCTCGCATGATACGTCATAGAGTTGCCAATTTGTGTTTGATTGATCACAACTTCAAAAATCCCAACTTCCTTATTTTTAATCGAATTTGCTCAAACTTTCACTGACTTGTTTCTCTCATTTTTCTACTCCTATTAAAACTAACTTAATTTCAGGGTGGACTTCCCCTTTAAAAGAAAACAAGTACTTTAATTGCAAGATTTTTCTCACAAAAGATGATTCATGCTTACTATCACTCAGGAAAAAACAAAAATAAACACAAATTACAGTGTCTGTCAGGTGAATGCTCTTTGTAAATGATTGAATAACATTTAGTGACATTAAAATGGATTAAAAACATTGAAGAAGTATTATTTATCTGTTGAAGGCCGAAGAATCCCAAGAAAGAGGTTTCCTTCAGGAAATATCGCAGCATTGACAAGGACTCTCTACGCAACTCTATTGACACAATGTTCCATTCACTTCCTGATCTATCTTGTCCATCTGCTTCCGCGGAGCATTACAACTCATCTTTGCGGACGTTGATTGATGAGCACGCTCCAATCCAGGTCAAGACTGTATCAATCAGACCTGATGCGCCATGGTTTACCGATGATATCCAGGAAGCCAAGAGGCGAAGGCGTCGTGCGGAACGTCGTTCGATCAAATCTGGACTTTTTGTTGATAGAGAGCTGTACCGCCGTGAATGCGAGTCATATTATGAGTGCATCTTCAATGCGAAGTCAGCGTATCTCAAAGATCTCATCAAGAATGCTGACACTAAAGAACTGTTTCGTCTTGTGAAGACACTCTCAACGCCCACTCAATCTTCACCTCTTCCAGATCATTCTTCTGATAGTGAACTCGCCAACAGATTTGCTACATTCTTCAGGGAAAAAGTCGCCAAAGTTGTATCCTCTTTCCCTAATGTAGTACCAGCACCAGCTTCAAGATCTTTTGCTCCAGGCCCTCGTCATGAACTCTCTGATTTCTGCCTTGTATCCCTCTCACAAGTCAGGAAGCTCATCACTTCACTTCCTTCTAAACACTGTAAGCTAGATCCGATTCCTACCTGGCTTCTAAAGGAAGTCCTCGATGAACTCCTTCCTCACATAACCAAACTGTTCAATCTCTCGTTATCATCCGGAATAGTTCCAGAGTCTTTTAAGACTTCTCTGCTTCTTCCCCTCCTAAAGAAGCCGAGTCTCGACACGAATGGACTTAAGAACTACAGGCCCATCGCAAACCTGCCATTCCTTGGGAAGGTTTTGGAACGTATTGTGTCACTACAGCTGAAAGCCCACATTGACAATCTCGGTTTGTTTCCAATCCACCAATCTGCCTATCGGAATCATCATTCTACTGAGACTGCAACTGTCAAGGTCCTAAATGACCTACTTCTAGCTGTAGATAAGGGTAATGAAGCTGTCCTCATCTTGCTTGATTACACTGCCGCATTTGACACTATCAACCACGACCTGTTACTCCATCGCTTAGAGAACGACTTCTCCATCACCGGCACCGTACTTCAATGGATTCGCTCCTATCTCATGCACCGAACTCAGAAGGTGATCATCAATGACACCAACTCGGAATCATTTCCCCTCATCTGCGGCGTTCCTCAGGGTTCCGTGGTCGGCCCCCTCCTGTTTATTCTTTACACCAGCCCTCTCTCAAATGTTATTAACCTTCATCAGAATATTCAACACACTATGTATGCAGACGACACCCAGATTTATGTAACTCTTCACCCAAACAGCAGGACAGTAGCCGCGAACAAACTCACCAGTTGCCTCAATGAAATCAAAACCTGGTCTTTTCAAAACTGTCTCTGCCTTAATGATTCAAAATCTGAAATGATTCATATTACTTCTAAATTTCGGAACTCAGACCCCTTTCCTGATCTTGTTATGAGTGATGGCTCTCTCAGTTGTTGTGCTTCTGTGCGTGACCTTGGTTTAAATATTGACAGCAATCTTACTTTCAAACAACACATTAGTAATATTTGTAAGTCTGCTTCCTTTGGTATATATAAGATCAGTAGAATCAGGAGGCTACTTGACCGACCCACAACTTCAAAATTAGTCCATGCTTTTGTCTCGACCCATATCGATTACTGTAATTCTTCTCTTTCTGGCCTCCCTCAGTCACATCTAGTCCCACTTCAAAGGGTACAGAATAGCGCTGCTCGGCTTGTGACTCTCTCGCGTAAATCAGAGCACATAACTCCAATATTGAACTCACTACATTGGCTTAAAATTCACCACCGCATATCCTTCAAAATTCTTCTCCTGTGCTACAAAGCTATCAATGGCTTAGCCCCCTCTTACCTTTCCGATCTCATATCCTTACGTTCCCGTACGTCGTCCCGAACACTTCGTTCATCTTCCACATTACTGTTAACACCTGGACCCCGCACTAACACCCGGTATGGTGACCGCGCCTTTTCAGTTATTGCCCCCGCTCTCTGGAACAAACTGCCCGCCTTTATTCACTGCGCCCCCTCTGTATCTCAATTCAAATCTCTACTCAAAACCTATCTTTTCAAATTGTAAATTGCAGTTGTGCGTCGGTCAATGGAGGTGCGCACCATATTTGTCTTTATTTAGTTGATTGCCACTGTTTTTCTTACCTTATCTATGTTACTTTTGTATTTTTGCTTTTTCTTCTAATTTAATTCTACGGGTTATAGTCTTCTCTTAATCAGAACACTGTGCGCTTAGAAACATCAGTATTAAGCGCCTAATAAATGTTATGTATTATTATTATTGACAACTGAATACTCTTAGGCTTAATACAGGGAAAACACAGTACCCATATACACTGGATTGAAGACATATTGCCAGTATGCGGTTAATAGTACCTAGGTATTTGATTTTGAATGGATGGCTATAGGCTAACCTCACTCTTTAAATCAATTAGTGGTCTTAGATATGCAGAGTTATGGGCAGAGTGATTTAATGAGCAAAGGACAGGTGTAATGAAGCATGCATGACTGATGGTGTGGTGGACCAGATCAAATTAGTGGTGTTCTTTCTTTTTTTTTCTTTTCTTTTTTTTTCATTTCTTTCTTTTCTTTCCTTTTCTATTTTTTTCTGTTATTTTAATTATTTCCTCCCTCCCCCCTTTTCCCCCCTTTTTTCCACTTCATTTCTTTTCCTTTCTTTTGCATTCTTTTCTTTCCTTTTCTTATGTTTTTTTGTGCAATGTACGGTGCAGATAGGATCTGTTGAAGTTGAAGTTAGCAGATCAAAGCAATCGACCATCGTTTGCTTGAAAAGTAGACATTATATATTTGTTTTTCAACTGATAATGTGAATTGACATGCTCAAGTAATTCATGAATTTAAGAAACTCATCAAGTGCAAAGCAAATTTAGTTCTGTTATAGAAAGAGATTGATGTGGAATGAAGAGGAGATGATTTGATTCTAATCTGCTTCTGAAGTGGATAACTGCATGAAGCAGTCTAATTATTGTTGATTTATGGCTCTTTAACTTGAAAACAATTGATGTCATTGCATATGCCTTATACATGAGGCAGTTAAATGTTTAATATGTCAGTGCTTTTGTATATCCTTATGCCTATCTTTGTGTGTAATTTCCAGTCCGTCCATTATGAGTCCTTGTTGGGTTCTTGCACTTCATTTGAATATATGCCACCAATACTTATAGATGAGACTGTAGAATTATTGTTTGTCCAGTGTTTGTGTATTAAAGGTAGTTGATTTCATTTGTAGCCAACATCAAATTCTGTAAAACTTTGCAGGAATTATGAATATGTCACATATGTCCTATCTGTGAAATTTAAACATTAGCAGTGTCCTAATATTCAAATCATACAAGAAAACCTATTTACTTTCTAGACTTCACTGTCAGAGTGACTACTTGACTGATTCGACTTCTTTTTTTTCTTCTTTGGTAATAACATACATAAAATCAACTGTAAAGGGTACATGAGCATTTGTCTACATCAATAACCCACTTCTTGTAATGGCCAAAATTAAATATGGGACATAGTACCTTTAATGGTTTCCCCTTTGAAATGACCAAGCCCCCCCCCCCCCTCCACTCCTGATATGCTGCTTAGCAATATTTCACTTGATCTGAACTTTGTTGTGCTACGACACCAGGGCCCCATCTTCCAAATAGTTACTCTTGATTCCAATCACTTGCATTTTAGTCACAACTCTGTACAATGGAATAGGAGTATATAAGTTTGCAGTAGATTGTAGGATCGATTGCAATTCTTGTCAATGATGTACCTTTCTTGTTCTGTTTCTTGTTGTAGTGTACAAGGAGGTGGGGACGGAGGCAGTACGGTTGCAGGCTTCGCTCAAGGGTATGGAGCCTATGCAAGCATTGACAGCTCCAGTGAAGTATCCCATAGCTCCAGCTCAGACTTTGAGAGTGCTTCACAGGTCTCTGGACCCGTAAGTAATCCCCCCATCCCCCCCCCCCCCCAGTGAAGTATCCCATAGCTCCAGCTCAGACTTTGAGAGTGCTTCACAGGTCTCTGGACCCGTAAGTAATCCCCCCATCCCCCCCCCCCCCAGTGAAGTATCCCATAGCTCCAGCTCAGACTTCGAGAGTGCTTCACAGGTCTCTGGACCCGTAAGTAATCCCCCCATCCCCCCCCCCCCCCCCAGTGAAGTATCCCATAGCTCCAGCTGAGACTTTAAGGGGGTCTTTGGAATCGTAAGTAATACCCCCCCCCCCCCCCCCCCCCCCCAGTGAAGTATCCCATAGCTCCAGCTCAGACTTTGAGAGTGCTTCACAGGTCTCTGGACCCGTAAGTAATCCCCCACCCCCCCCGCCCTCCCCAGTGAAGTATCCCATAGCTCCAGCTGAGACTTTAAGAGGGTCTTTGGAATCGTAAGTAATACCCCTCCCCCCCCCCCCCCCCCCCCCCCCCCCCAGTGAAGTATCTCATAGCTCCAGCTCAGACTCTGAGAATGCTTCACAAGTTCATAAGTCTCTGGACCCGTAAGTAATCCCCAATGGTGCAAAGAGACCCCTTAAATACCACATTTGTGTTCTGATTTAATTTGTCAATTATCTCTACCACTGTTTTAATCAAGTATTGGCCAAGCAGAATTTAATTGTAACAATGGTCAGGAGGGAATTATTGCTTATCATTCTGATAATCAAGATATTTTGGGTACTTCTTCAAATAACCTTGAAGATTTCAAGACATCAATGTCACAAACATAAATGGAAGAAAATTAGTCCAAATATTTATTAAAGCATTGGTATGGTAAATTATGGTAAAGTGTGATTAATGTGTGAAGTTTATATTTTATCTGTTTGTGATGATCTCTAGTTTTTAAATGGATGTTTTGTATATCTTAATTTATACATAACAGAGACCAATGGCTTGGGAAGGAACTACAGGTAAGTTATATTTCTTGTAAAATCCCACATCCCCTAAACACCTGAAGACATGTTTGTACACTTTATCAATTGATATCTGTGACTTAGTTGATGTATTTCTATATCCTACACCTAAATACAAACTTCATCTAGTTTAAACGTATTTGAGCAGTGACACATGTAAGATTCAATATCTTAGTTACTAAAGAAACAAAATTACAGAAATGTAACGGCTTAATATGTAGTAAGTCCTTTTGAAGCTCTCATGAAATGCAAGAGACATAGTATGGTTTGAATGCAAAATGATTTAATGTTTTCTGGAATTTAAGACTATATATGTTCTTACCAGCTCACACAAATTCCAATCTACAGCTTTTATTTTGATGTAGTCAGTAATCTATGTCAAATTGGTTGACTTTATTTTACCCACAAAAGAATCCCAAACGTCCACAGTTCTGCTCTGAGTAATATTCTCAGTTAATTCCTGTTATGATGTCACAATTATTTACCACGATCCTTGTCTGCATGATTTTGATTTGCTTGGGACCTGCATACCTTGATGCAAATCAGTCTCTTTTACATGAATTAATGATCTATTTATCTGCCCCTTCCTTCCCCTCCTCTTGTTGGTTTAATAGATGATGTGAAATCAACCAGACCCGGCACAACACGCAGCATGACACATGAGTGAGTAGCAAGGCCGAATAGAAATGTAAATGTGTGTGTTGATGGGTTGCTGGAAATATTTCTATTTAGCCACTTACATTTTATTTTATGATTGTTTGATGAGAAATATATGTAATTTCAAAGAAAATCGTTTGTTGCCATGGCAATGGCCAAAATGTCATTAGGAAAATAGCAACAGGTGGATTCGTGTTCAGCAACCCTACAATATAGGAAAATAGCACATAAAATCAGATTCTTCAGAAAATTCTAAGTACACCTATTATGATGTCACAATTAGCTACCACGATCCTTGTCTGCATGATTTATAGTTTGATTGGGACCTGCAAGCTTGCCATGTACCATTATTCTTTCTCGCAGTCCCTCTTCTTTTTTTCGTCCTCCTCAAGTTTTTGATTCTTTCTGTTTTCTTTTCTTCTGCAATTATGGTTTGTGGTAAATGCAGGTTTACTCATCAAACGCACTCCCATCTGAGATCATATGCCTTCTTTCCCATAGGGGCCTATTTTATTATCATGTGCATGTACATGTATGCACGATTTGTACAATCTTTGTGCTATTAATATTTTTTTATTTGCTACTTTCCACCCAGGTGATGGAAATGGGTACAAACTTACAGGTAGACAAAATTCTATGAATGCCAGAGGGCCTTATCATAGTTCATGATGTTCAGCCAAAGCTGGGGTAATAAGATTACAATGCATAGAAACATATGTATCAAACACTACATGAACATTTTTTTTCTTCTTCAAAATTCATTCAAAATAAGTGGCCTAAGAAAATAGATCTTGATATTGAATAATAATACTGTGTTTTGATTTCCACTGTAGCCAAGCCAGTGAGTTGTTTCATCAGAGTTCATCACAGTATAGAAGTGGTGGTGCTGAAGGAAGTAGTTCATATCGTGTAGAGAGTAGCAGAGAGGTCAGATCATCTCAAAGATGGGAAACATCATCACATACATCAGAGGTAAGCAGCTTGTGTCTCTTCTTGCCTGTTATGTGATTTTTTTTGTTACTTTAGTATGCTTTTAAACTTTTAATATGCTGCAAAAATGATCTCCTTGTGCCACATTGTATTTATCATGGGATGGATTTAACTTTTAACTGTTTCCAGTGTAAGATTAAGCTATATAAACCGTGTTGTCATGGAGCTATTCAAGACAGGAAACAGGTAATTTCACAAAGCCATTATGATGTACAACGCCATCCTTCTGTCAATTGGTGCCTATTGTTCTTGTGCGAAATTGCATGTGTGGCAATCGATCGACTGTGCCGAGAGGTAAAGAAATCTGTCAAAATGTTCATGTTCATAGAATAAAAAACTACACTAACCCTACACAAATCACACTTTCACATGCTTGAAAGTTTCAGGAATATCGCTAAGGGCTGAGGGGTTTTTTTCCACAAAATTTTCAGGCAGTGCCAGTGAAGTTTGAAGATTAAATTGAATCACAACATAAAATATTTGAAATTTGCGTAAGTTTCTTAAGCCAGCTGTTGATAACCATTTGAAAGTGTTTTATCTTATGAAAGTTTACTAGTTGATGGCTATTTAATACATATATCTCTTCATCTGTCTAGCCCAATATCTCCTTATTATAGGGTTTTTGAACAATTTTAGGGGTGCCCTCCATTTGAAGGGAAATTGACGACTGCATTCCATTATATCATATATTCTCATGAGGTGTGTAAATCTGCCCTTATCATTTCCCGGAGTAGCAGTTTGAGATAAAACCTTCTGTTGCCTCATTACAAAGAACATTTGAGTCATATAAGAGTTGGCTTGCTTAGTGAAATGTACATGCTGTGGCATGTAAAGACCCACCTGGAACACAAGAGGCATAATTGCTTCTTTTTTTTTAATCAGAATTTTGCAGAACTACAGTACATCATACATGTATAAAGATCTACTTTAAGTATATGCCTGTAACTCTCTCCTTTGATAAGGTTGAATAATACTGAAACGGTTGGTCAGATGTGCTGTCCCTTCAGAAGCAATTGTATCACCAACAATTATGCCTTTTGTGTTCTAGGCACATGTCTACATTGGAACTACATTTTGCTATTGCTGTATAACCTTAGTTACACCCCCAACCCCTCTTTCTCCTCTTTGCAATGTATATCTGGAGCCATATTTCTTCAGGAGAGGATGTTTACTGATTGTGTATTCTTAACATCTCTCTCTCTCTTTCTCTGTCTCTGTCTCTCTTTCTTCTCTCTCTCTCTCTCTCTCTCTCTCTCTCTCATCCGTAGGTTGAGAGACGATTAACAGGAACGGAATCACTACTTGAGAGGGGGCGTTCTTGGGCTCAGCCAGGTTCTGATGACGATTCAAGTGTCTAGTCTCTGCTCAGATATTGCCTCTTTTTGTATGACTAATTTTAGATATGACATATCTTATTTTTTACCCCAACAAATCATTTGTGCAGCCACTACATAATCAGTAAGAGCCTTGAAGTCTTTGCTATATACTAAAATGTGCTGCATTCCTATTCAAAGAGCCACAGCTTTGTCTTTTATCACTGGGTTATCTTGAGATAACATTTGAGATAATATTTTATCCCACAAGCCAGAAGATGGCTGCATTCTCATCTCTTTGTGTTGCATGCTTACAGAGCTTTTTATTGACCAAACACCAGTGAACCAAAAAGTTTTTCATCCTGTGTATTTTTATACCACTCGCATGCAAACCATCAGAAAAATACTTTTTCCCCGAAAATAGATGTCTTCTTAAAGATACTATGTCCCTTTTGCAGCCATCATCAAATTCTGTAGAACTTTGCAAGAATTATGAATATGTCATGTATGTCATATCTGTGAAATTTAATCGTTAGCAGTGTCCTCATATTCAAATTATGCAAGGAAACCTGTTTACTTGCTAGGCTTCACTGTCAGACACTATTGAGTGGCTGACAGGTTTTTTTTTCTTTCTTTGGTAATAACATACATAAAATGAGCAGTAAAGGGTACATGAGCATTTGTCTACATCAATAACCCACTTCTTGTGATGGCTAAAATCTAACTGATTGAATCTTTGCGCAGCTTAAACATACGACCATTCGGTACAATGGTCTGAAAAATCAGACTATTACTTACTGGCTCTATAGCTCTTAAGTCAATTTGACAACTAATAGTCATTATTTTCCCACTTAAAGACATTTTCAAGCCCCCCTTTTTTTAGGGAAGTTCTAAATTAGTATTATCTTTCAAATGGCTTTGGAATTTAACCTTTTCATTTTTTTTGGCCTGCAAATGGGACATAGTACCTTTAAAAGAATGGTTTGAACTTGTTGACTACTTACATGTAAATAATAAATAATAGTCCCTCCATTCTTTTTGCCAATACTGTCCATGATTAAGTGAATGTTTTGTATATATTCTATGTCAGTCTATTTATTCTCAAGCTTCATTGCTTCTTTGTTTGAAAAATAGTGTGATGATGTCGATCTTGAAGCCTAGAGCATTCAAGCATTATATATATTTGTGAAGTAGGATATGTATGTGTTACATTTTTGTTTTAAGCTAATATGAGTTTAGTTGCATTTTACATATATGCTCATTTTATATATAAATATCATGATATGGCATTATTTTGAAGAAGATGAGCATAATTTTTTTGTGGGGTAAAACTCATCTGGAATGGAGGAAAAGGCTTCTACTTACATAATAAATACACATTGTGTGATAATTACGAATGTCATAGTAATGAGGAATTTATTGGACATGTATTAGGATTCTGTTCATCTTTTAGATATACAGGCATCATCCAAAGAGTAGATCAGGGTGATAAATACAAAGGCATACATAAGCTAGTCAGATCTTGACCAGATGATCTACAGGTTTTCTTTCATCTGTTTTTTTTTTCTTCTCCAGTTGAGGAGACACAGATTTTAAACTATTTAGAAGTCAGAGTATTTTGCTATTTGTCATCCTATAGTTAAGCAGCGTAGCATATACATATATTGTTTTGAATCTGAAATACATGAGAGTGATAATGGTATATATCTTCTTTTTTTTTTAAAGTTTGGCGTGTTACTTAAGGATCTATAAATATCTATACCAATGTTTCAGGTATATACAATTTTGTACATATATGTGTATGTAAAGATTTTATATTGCATGTATTTTATAAACTAATTGTTTTCTCATTGTTATAAATCGTTTAGTAAACCATAGTCTGAAAATAAGAATATAATCTAAATTACCAATAGTAGCTGACTAGTTGTTAAAGAGATAATATCAGTAGAAGCACCCTTATAAGATAAAGTAGATGTGTATACACTTGTAGAAGTAGTATATTGTACATGGAAAAATAGTAGATATAGAAGTAGTACTTGTAGTAGTAGATAGTAGATGTAGATGTAGAAGTAGTAGATAGTAGATGTAGAAATAGTAGATGAAGAAGTAGCACTTTTAAATGTCATAGATATAGAAATAGTAGATGTAGTAGTAGTAGATGTAGAAGTAGTAGTAGATGTAGAAGTAGTAGTAGATGTAGAAGTAGTAGATAGTAGATGTAGAAGTAGTATCGAAACTAGAAATAATAAAATTGGTAGAGGAGTTAGTTTCTCAAAGTATTTTATACATATTTCTAGTTCTCTTGCACGAAATGATATATGACTATCATACTTATTATCACTACCTGAAAATCGTTTGATCATGCTACTTATTAGAACCTAGCTATTCACTTAAGGCACAAAGCTTTATAGTAAATCAATTTTATTTGCAAATAATAATGTGCCATTGTTGCAGCTTGTAAGAACAATCATGAAATAAATATGTTTACTTGAAATTGTTAATATCAGACTGCATGTTTTCTTCTTGTTTTCATAACTTTGTAAGATTATATTGCATTAACTTCGAATTTAATGATCCTTAATATAGATTGTCCATTTCAGTTTAAATCCAAACAAATCCAAATCGATCAATTCTCACTGATGAACGACAAGTTACATTTACACTGTTTTTTGTTAGGTCTTAAATTCACTAAGAACAACCTAAAATCGTGCTGAAAAAAATTACAAACAAAGAAAACAACTGGATACACATATGGCTGAAGGAGATTTCACTTTGTAAGATTATATTGCATTAACTTCGAATTTAATGATCCTTAATATAGATTGACCATTTCAGTTTAAATCCAAACAAATCCAAATCGATCAATTCTCACTGATGAACGACAAGTTACATTTACACTGTTTTTTGTTAGGTCTTAAATTCACTAAGAACAACCTAAAATCGTGCTGAAAAAAATTACAAACAAAGAAAACAACTGGATACACATATGGCTGAAGGAGATTTCACAATTGTGTGGCTTCATAATTTGATCCAAATTGGTTGGTTATTTCTATAGTCACACATTAAGTTTTAAGAGCATTTCTCTTTATAGGACATTTAACGTGAAACAAAAGAGAAAGATCACTTACTACTTTGTCACTTTTACCATAAATCAAACAGTAATGATAGTTAATTTACAGAAAGATGTGTTTATGCATGCGAAGAACCTGAATATATTTTGATCTGACCCTTTAAATCCTGCTAACATGATTATGCGCCTAGAATTGCCGTTTGGTCTACAAGCAGTACATCTACTACCCTATTGAGTTAGTCTATTCCCATATTGTATACGCCCAGCCCGCCTAGTATGCACATGGTCTCATCATTTGGTCTACTTAACATTTGGTCTATTGACCTTTTAGGTTAATAGTCATTTGGTATAATTTCCATTTGGTCTAATCTCCAATAAGTATACTGCCCATTTGGTCTAATGCCCATTTTGTGTACGATCCACATAGTCTAATAATAACCTGATCATGAATAATACTAATCATCAAATTATTATTAGACCTTATGGGTGGTAGACCAAATGGGTAGTAGACGAACTAGTTGTAGACTAAACTGGTATAAACTTTTCATTGCATTCATAAAATAAATATCCGTTTTTAAATCAATACTTCTAATTGCAAATATCATATTCATTGTGCGATATAATGACATTGATTAGTCTGAACCGATGTACATACCCGATCCTGATACATGTATAATACATTTCTAGAGCCTTCAATGGGCTTAATTTAGACAAAATCGATACCAGTCATTTGTATAGACATTACGCATCAATGTTTCGGTTGCATTGGGAGCTGCATACATTATGTGGATCATGCATAAACTAATTAATCCCTGGACTCGGTATGGAACTGTTTCTTTCCCCCTGTTTTCTCACCACGGCACCCCCCCCCCCCCCCTCCCCCACCACCACTCCCATTTGCTCTCCTTCTCTCGCACTCACTTTTGGCTCATTGCGTCCTGCATTCTTGACCCTCCCCCTCTCGCTCTCTCTATCTCTCTCTCTCTCTCTCTCTCTCTTTCTCTCTCTCTCCTTCTCCCTCCCTCCGTCCTTGGTTTTTTCCCCTCTCCTATAGTACTCTAACCATCTTCTTTGTCATTACATGAAAATACTAAGATTCATGATCAATGTTCTATCGACAGGCTCAGTGGTGTAGCAGTAACAGAGAAAGGCTTAAATTAAAAGCCCATTGCTTATTTCGATTCCCAAAAGACATATGGTTTAGAATTGAAGTACTTGGTCTCGTAAAATTTAATTAGAAAAGCCACAATTTATGTACATCACTTCATTCATAGAAAGCTTCAAACACAGAAAATAAAAGGAAGTAAACAAATTATGAAAGTCATCTGCATTCAAGGGAGAAGACAGTGTATACTAGATTTATTCAGAGTTGAACCAAAAGTTTTGAATCGCCATAAGTATTAATAATCAATAATCCGTCATCAAGGGTTGTGATATATCAGGCGACGGAAGAGGGAATCGACTTCAGGGGAATTATGTGAAATTATTTTAAATAGTGCATGTACATTGAGTAAAAAGTAAAAGCTATCATTAAACTGTTTATGGGCTCAACTATATGCAAAGTGAGTTATTTAAACAAGAACAATCTCGCTCAGATGCCACGCTCCCTCGCATAATGAAATGAAATCCTAAAGTATTGTTGACAATTTGGTAACCAGAGAATAAATTGTATTGTGTTTTGACAAAAGCTTTAGAAGGCTTTTTTTGTAGGGCCTAATGCAGGATCGGACTTTCATGGGGGTGCCTCTCCCCTTAAAAGGTTGTCCACTTACAGGTATAAAGAGATACACCACAAAATTGTCGAAATACTTCGTTCGTTCGTGTCTCCTTAGATCAAGATTAATGTATCTTGATCTTCGGAGTAGTTGCTACAACCGGCCGTGTCAGACACGTTGCCCCGGGGTGCGAGATAGGACTCTTGTAGCGTGCCCCCATTTAAAACAATTATACAATAACAGTTAACATTACATTTAATAAATAGTATGAAACTATTAAAATTACTCTCATATTACGGGAAAAAATATTATTTATATTTATATTATGACTCTAAATACTGATTAAACATTGCCCAACCTCCAAGAAAGAAAGATGTTGAATTTAAGGCGCGCGACTTGTTAAAAATAGCATGATTTACCCAAGGGGGAGGGGGCAAGAATGCAAATATTTCATACTCTAAACTTCAAAGCGTCTTCTTCAGGGGGTTTACCATCACAACCCTCTGGAATCAACTACCCCGGATCATCCGTTCAGCACCCACACCAGATACCTTTAAGAAGTACTTGAAGACGTATTTATTATTATTGATTTTCCCACCTTTATACAAGGGAAAGTGCTGTAAAACAAATTGTGTAAGAGCGCTATATAAATGAACATAGTTTTTACATGTATTATTATAATAATTATGATTATCATATTATTAATGTTTTGCCACCCCATCCCTCTCTCTCTCTCTCTCTCTCTCTCTATCTGAGTTTCATATTTCTCCCTCAATCTCTTCTACTCCCTTTTCCTTGTCTAATTCCAATTAAGTTTTGATTATGTTTTAATCCCAATTTAAATCTCAATTTGTTTGATCTCGTTTGATTTAAAGAAATCCCACAAATCATAGATCTCAGTGGTTAAAATATCAAATATACCTGAACGCAATAACAACAATACCCGAAGCAGAAAAATCGCAATTTGATTAAGTTGAAGACACCTAGTGAAGGCGTGTAAAATCTAAAAATGGAACATGAAGGTTCTTTTATTGAAATATTTAATTTGGTTTGATTAATTTATTTCTGTTTGATTATCTTTTTCTTTCGCAGTTTTACAAATATATAACAAACAAATCATTGCAAATTGTATGACAATATATATAAATTACCATTCAGGTTTAAATGACCATGACAAAATCAACGAAACGCAATTGAATTCTCGCTGTTGTTGAGCTTACAAACGATGTGCTAAATCAATCACAGGGCACAGTGATTATCATTACCACGAGTAAGTTCAACTTTCCCATCATTTTTTGCTCAGAATGCAAAAGATATGCATGAAATATAGTGTTCCCGCAAAAAAACAACCAACAAAATTAGGGTTAATAAAACCGCAAGATTTTTCATCGAGGTTTACACAACATGGATGTGTTAACTTAATTGTTTCCCTCTTTTACGAATTGCCAGTAGTTGTAGTGGATTTCAATTATTTGTCATGCATGCACCAACAGATAATTTACCAGTGACTTACCAAACATATTCTGAAGATCTGGCGTACACTCCCTTGAGGCCAAGAAATAGAATTAATACTGCGTAAAGTTGGTTTACCGCACATGAGGGTGTCATTGTGGGAGATGACTCCAAACCACACATAAGAAATTCCCTGATACGCCACAGATCATACAAGATTGAAATATAACAAGCACTACTGAACGATTTCAAAAATGAAATTCACAGCAAGTGAAGTATCCATCGTCGTATATATACGTGCGCCAAGCGATGTTGTGAGAAAAATAATTAGTAGGGGTGCCAAAGTATTTTCGACTGCTTTTCCATATTTATTACAAAATTTATTATGAGGATTTATTTTCAGTATATTTGAGTATATCGAAATATCAACTTGAAGTTTTTCTGAAACTTCCCAGGTTTTTTTGTAGTCCAATCCACGAGGAATAATTAACTGATCATAGCAATATTAAAGAGACCTGAATAAAAACAAATAGGGAGAGCGAGCTGAGAGGAACTTGAGAGGTGTTTCGAAGATAAAGAGGTGAGAAAGTACAACTATAGGTGTGGAAATAATACATATCAAACAATGGTCAATCACATGGCGTTGACGCTTACGGTAAACTCCTTCATTTCATTTTTTGCCATAGTCGGCAATTCGGTGATGATAATCGCTTTTATCTCCCGTCATCATCTTCGTACCTCCGCCAACTGGTTAACCGTGTCTACCTTTGTTGCGGGGTTCATATCAGGGTTGTATTACCCACTACTCGGTCTGGTGGATGCATACATCATCGAGAATAATCCATTCTGTTTCGTCGTTATGACTTTGGGTGTTATCTCTGGTCTCCTCTTCACATTGAGTGTGGGAGCAATGACTGTCGAGCGATATATTTCCATTTGCTACCCACTTCATGCGGCCAGAATAATCACACCACGTCGCGTCATTTTCGTCATCTCTGCTCTATACATCTATACTCTGATCATCATTGCACTGCCGGCAATGACACCGATTGGTAACCGCGGGGACATCAGTGACAATCCCCTAGGTTGCAGGTTGGCCACCGTGTACACTTTTCGATATGCTCGTTTCGTTCTCATTCAATTCCTGGCTCCCATTCCAATCATGTTAATAACTTACTGTCGTATTTTCTTTGTCTTGCGTCGTCACATCCGAGCAATAGCAGATCTCCCGAAGAACCCTTGCTCTAGTGAAACTGTCGGTCCGGCTGCTGCGGCTAGTACCGGCACCGCTACTGTTGTCGCGGACGTAACGCGGGAGCGGCGACTTTGGAAACGCGAACTCAGGTCTGTGACGCTTCTGTGCACTCTCGTCACCACGTACATGCTGTCGTTGCTACCGGTCGTAGTGTTCCTCCAGACTGCGTACCATAACAGAGGAAGTCCAATCGGCTACTCGCTCGTCCACTCTGTCGTCTTTTTGGGTGCGGGTATCAACCCATTCTTGTACGGTTTTGGCAACAGAGCTTTTCGGAAAGTAGTCTTGTCAATCTTCTGTAGACGTGAGAGCCAACGTCAGGAAACGGTTTAATTCAAATCTAAAATGATTTATTATTGAATAAAGGGACTCGAGCAAGATTTGTTTCAAGCTCGAGTCACAATGTTGTAAAAATGCAAGGCTTATAATAATAATCTTTAGAAATTGATGTATCACTGTGCTAAAAGCTGAAAATAAAGTGAGGAGAAAAAATGAAGCTCTGTGCCTGATAAGTACCTGTAGAAAGTTTGGTTCTTGGTATCATTGTGTCCTCAAAGCTAATAAACATGGGCCTAAAGGCCCGGTCTCACCGCCAGAACTTTGCTGGAGCGTTCCTTGAACGGTAGGGAGAGGGGGCCGAATTTCGACAACGCTCGTCACCGCGCACAAAATGGAAAACAAATCGAAAACACGGGCGTTGCCTTAGCGGTGCACCGCTGAAGCCGGCGTTGCTTTAGCGTTGGTTTAACGGTAGCGAGCGGTAGCGCTCCCGCTCCGACACCTTCATACCAACGCCAAACCAAAGTTCATCACCGCAATGGATCGCTGCTTCAACGCCCGACACCGTTCCAGCAATCCCGTGTCCGCTCGTCAAACGCTTACAACCGATCCACCAAAGTTTGTGCAACGTTTAATCACCGCCCGGGCAAAGCTGGCGAAGCAGCGGTGGTCCAGCGTTCAAGATTTCTGCGTTGGCCTAGCGGACCAAAGCGTCCACGAACTTGCGTCTAGCGGTGCCAAACTTTGACTGGGCGTTGTTGGAGCGGTGGTGAACTTTGCCGGAGCGGAAAATTGCCCGCTCCTCACCGCTCGCAATATTTTGTGCAGCTCAAAACTTTCGGAGCGGTAGGAGGGACCATCAGCGGTGGCCGAGCGTATACGGCGTTGCCTTAACGGGGGCCAACTTCTGTTAAACGGTGGTGAACGGTTACGAGCGGTGATGAATTTTTTTCACCGCTACAGGAACGCTCCAGCAAAGTTCTGGCGGTGAGACCGGGCCTTTAGGAACCTGACTAACACAGTATCGGATTTGAAGGGAAGATAGCACCCCCTGTGAGCAAGTTCAGTTCACGACATCTTGGGCGCGCCAGCATCACCTGTTCACGCACTGACTGCTTTGTTACGAAATGGTTGCAGTAAGTTGACTTTAAAGTAGATATTCATTGATTTTAAATACTAACTTTATTTTCATTATTGCAAAGTTGAAACTTTGATTCGACAACGTTATCTAAATTCAATGCTTGGAAACATTCGAAGCAATGATTATTATTAATTACAAAACGCTTAAATACAGCCCCGGCATAGCACCTGAAGAGCTCTCCGAACGCTGCTGAAATGTGTGAGATCACAGTATGGACATGACTTGCACAAGCAGACGATGTCCCATGACATCTCACATATTTTCAGTGCCTGTGTTTTCATCTTTTCTCGAGTTCTTTCTCTTACTTCACTACCGTCAGGCTAAATGTATAATCTATCGCCTCACTCTAAACCCCGCGCATGGTTTTATTTTGATGAAAAATGCAGCGATACAAAAATAAAGGAATCTGTCGCTTGTAAACAAAATAAGACGCCATTGTATATTCAGCTGCACACACCGGGGTATGTTCGGCGTTTCAAGAGGGAACAAATGCCGTCCTTAATATCATTCCGGGGGGTTTTCAATTTGAAAGTCTGGTTTCTTTGATTGTTAATTAACCCCTATCCTGTGTATTTACAAGCAAAAGATTTTAGTTATCAGAATCAGATCATATCCCCTTTTAAATGGTTTGACACTGTGAACATGACAGACAATGAAAGCGGACAAAATATACAGTTCCTCAGGTAGACAAAGGAACATCCCTTCACTGCTATTATGTAAAAATGTGTAGAACAGGTGAATATGCATGTGACACCTGTTCTACACAATTTTACATAATAGCAGTGAAGGGATGTCCCTTTGTCTACCTGAGGAACTGTATATTTTGTCCGCTTTCATTGTCTGTCATGTTCACAGTGTGACATGCCATTACATACTAAACTCATTATAATTTGAGAAATAATAGCTTTGCAATTATGTTCATTCTCTATGGGATGTCGTCTGCTTGGGCAGTGTTGGTCCATATAGTGACGTCATTAAAACATTGTTATTTTTTCCGGCGAATCTCTCGTATATCCCAGCTGCTATGGAGGTGGTTGTGTTGGTATTTTTATAAATCACCCGATATGTAGTTGACCTAAAACTTGTACGATGGCCATCTGTTAGCTTACCAGTTTCTAGTGAAACATTAGTTGAAATATTTGTGATCTTCTTTGAATTTCACCTTTAAAAAAAATTAAATACTATATTTACATGGTTTCGGCCAGCACTGTCGGAATTCGGTGTTCCCTTTCTTTGACTGAAATATCGATTTCGTACGAGCCGATGCACAAACCTGAACACGAACAGACTAAGGTAATGCCGTTGACATTACAAATGACAGTGGTGTATGCAGGGTAACGAACGAAATGAAAACTCACCCCTCCCCCACCCCCTCCCACTTTCTCATACAAACTTAGATCCGCTTCTTGTTGTAAGGGCGTGTTTATGCTTAACTTTTTCTGGCCAGAATCAAGCATCTGTTACGCGTTTAGTTTAAAACACGGTTGCGTCCTTTCTCACCTTTGTAGAATCACCGAAAAACGGCGATCACGATCGCCGATCGTAAACTCACAAAAAGATGCGTTTACAATTATTTGTAAACGCGTTTAAATGGAGTCAACGCACTGACCTCTAGTGGGTCTACGTAGCATGCACAGTGCAGGTTTGCGAATCCAGCTGCTAGGCCAATTAAGGCCACCCAGGAAGAATTGCCTGAAGGAGCCAGAGAAGTGAGCATAAACAGTACACTGTGGAACTGCGATTACGATGAGCGTTTACGATGAGCGTTACAAATCGCTCATTCTGCCTTCAAAATTTAAGCTTAAACGCACCCTAAGACACATGTACCGGCGACCCAGGGAGTTGTGAGTTTAGACTGTTGCTCCGAGGGCAATAAACACTTGTCCTACTCTAACCGAATTCCTAAGTTCAACCCTAAACCAAACGCTATTCCTAACCCTAAGTTCCCTAGCCATAAACCTGAACCTAACATAAACACAAATTGCAACTTTTACCCTTATCAAATAAAGCCCGGGGCAAACTGTCGGATCATTCGTTCTGCAAGACAGATATTTATTTATTTATTTATTTATTTATGATTTCTTTTAACAGGGTAGTTTCATTCAGTTCCACTGAAAGCCAGTGGATCTGCTTTTCAAGAAAGCCCTGCATAATACAATGACAGTTTAAAAACATAGTATAATACACAATTAAACAATGTACATACATGTGAAATATCAAATTTAACATACATCTTATAAGAATAAGACTATTTGAATCATACAATATTTACTATCAATTATTTTAAAAAACAAAACAAAACAAAAAACAGAATTATAACAAAAGCACACCTAAAACAAAACACCTAAACAAACAGAAAAAAAAACATAATTACAGAAGGAGTAGAGTGCAGAAGGCCTATTGCACTTTTGAGAGTTTACAAAGAAGGTAGAGTAGTTACAGTAAATGCATAGAAAGACGGCATTGCTTTTTGAACAAAATATGTAATGATGTACATGACTGAACAGAAAGTGGGATTTTGTTAAACAGCGGACCATAGTAGGCAAAGCTAAGTTTTATATTCAGTGACTGCCTGTGGGACAAACAAAATGACTGTTAACTGCATACCTTGTAATATAAAAGACTGGTCGTCGGATAACGAGGCAGTTTAAATAATCAGGAGCTTGTTTATGCAAAATTTTAAAAACCAGAACACAAAATTGATATTTTACCCTTACTTCTAGAGTTTGCCATTTAAGAATGTTGAAAAATTGAGAGACAGAAGTAAATGAATCTACATTAAAAATCATTCGAATGTATTTATTTTGAATTCTTTGTAATCTAATGAGATTAGTTTTTGAGTAAATTCCCCAAACAGTACAACAATAATCGATGTGTGGCAAAATAAGTGAGAAATACAGACTGATTATTGTTTTACGAGTTAAAAAAGGCTTAATTCTACGGATAACCCCAACTGCACGAGATATTTTACAAAATACACTTCTGACATGTTTAGACCAATTTAAACCTCGATCTAAAATAACTCCGAGACAAATGAACATGAACTTGACTGCCGAGAAGAACCAAAGGAGGCAATTAGGACAGAACCCGGCCCCCCCCCCCCCCCACTCAGTGTTATTTATAGGGTACGCATATGCTCGTACCCTCTTTTTGAAAGCACCCCCTATCTGAGGACTGCCAACATTTCCGAACCCCCCTTTCGCGGGCTTTTTGCGGGCTTTTCCTGCCTTGGAGACCCCCCTAAATCAGGAAAAATGCTCAATGTACCCCCCTAAATTCGGAATAATTTCTCAGGATTCCAAAGAGATAAGAGAAAAAAAGAAAAACACCCCCTTTTTAAAGAAATCTCCGGGTGAAAAGTCAAATACACCCCTTTTTTTACAAATCTCGGGCCGGACTTTGTCGCACGAAAAGTACCCCTTTACCGGACATTTTGGCAACACGCATGCGGTCATTCCGACCTCTGAGTGGGGGGGGGGGGGGGGGGGGGGGGCCGGGGGACAGAATTATCAACACATTGTAGGTAACGGAATGGATAGATAGACCGGCTGTCATGCAATTCATAAAGGTTTACAGTCTTCAGGATAGTGTAGTATCTCTTTGCACGTTCCGTACATAGATACCTTATATTAGAGATCGGATGTTACGTAAGAGATACTTGCCGTTACTTATACCTCTCCATTAGGAGTTCACATTTGTTTAGAAACATGCTAACTGTTTGATTGGTAATGTCCCAGGCACACCGACAAATCGATTCATGAACTGACCACTTAACCAACAACTCTTGGTCATTTACAGCGTGTCCACACACAACACAATTTATCCCGAAACTCTATAACGAAACGTCGTATAAAGAATCATCGTATAAATTTCAGAGTGTCCACACACAAGAAACGTCGTATAAATAATCATC